ATGCTTACATTATACATAAGCCCTGTGTCAAAGCTAGCATTCAAATAATTGGTTTCAATGACGTAATAAAAAAATATTTTACTACTGGTAACACTTCACTCGTTTTATAATTTGAGCGTTTGTGTGTATTTATATTTGTGCGGTGTGTGTCGGACATGCCTAAGAGCTGGACTTTTTGCACGCGTTCCCCGCCAGGGGGCGCCACTGAGGAAGCACCCTCTGACGTCACGATAAAACTGCGCGCACTGTACGCACGGTTCTGTAAGCAAGTAATATAGTGGTGGTTTCATGGTGGAAATTGAAATAAGTATTTTGACGTTGTAAAATTTCAAGCCATTTTTGTGAAATTTATTAGTAAATGCATTTCAAAAGTATTTATTTAAAGTGTGAAAGGAGAATAATTAGAAGAACATGGATATTTTTGTTCCAATAGCTTATTATGTGAGACATGATCGGTACTAACGGGTACTTCTAAGAAGTAGTGAAGAAGTACCAAACAGCCTGCTCGGCTACGATCGTCAGCTGTCCTTTGGAGCTGGACTTCAACGCTGTAAAAAAAATATGTGCTGAATTAATTTTTAGTTTCACCAAAATATAAGCAATTTATCATTTCTTTTTCACTTTTGTAATTATTGTTGAGTGATGAGACATGTTGCTAGTTCTGACAATATAAATTATTAATTAAAATGAACGAAATGCTACGGTAAGTATCTGCTACTAAATTATCACTTACACCAAATACATGGAGAATCTTGCTACCATTGCTTATAAAACGTGATTATCAATACAAAAATGTTTTATTTCAGACAAGAAGGATTTATTTGCCTGAAGTGTTGCGTCATGTGCTACTGCTTTGATTCCAAAGATGCTCTCCGGGTCGGGGTAATTTAGTTCTTCATCGATCGATAAGAGATTTTGATTCCGTTGATATCCAAATTGATAAGCTCGGCACCATGGAGTAAGGGCGTCCCCACAGGGGTGACGCAGGAAATATGAATGGCGTTTACACCGACAGTAGTTTCCCACAGCCGGCAATAGGAATCTCCTGTCGGTGTAAACGCCACTATAGTCCCATCCAACTCAAACACTGGGGAATATCCCCGCACTTTTGAGGACGGAAATCTATGGACCTGCTCGAAAAATAGTGGATTGATCGGCGCCCAGCTCAACGTCGAAGGCGCCCTGATACGCGGCACTGCTATCTGTGAAGGTGCCCAGGTTGCTGCCGCTCGAATTTCGGTCGCCTACTTAACAAAACCTCCGTTGGTGCCATCTCAGTTTCCTCGAGGTCAGGCAACCTTCACACGCCGTTGGCTACCTTGGCTGGCCGGCGACTCGTTCCCCTCGTGGCGACGCTCTTGACATCCAGTCAAAAGTTGGAGTGGCTGGCGCCCCCAGTGGGGGCCGAGGAAGGGGCAGTGGGCCTCCACGTTGCTCTCTCCCCGAGCCTATGCCGTGACTTGGCTCAACTCTCCTCAATAGAATCTGGATTCTGCACGCTGTATTAACATGGGCGTAGACACCACTACGGACAATACGGACAGTGGATGTGACAATCAGTAGTGCCATTCATATAGAGGGTGTCATATATGAGCGGAGAGGCAACAGTACAGCTGAGCGGAGAGACAACATTAAAACAACAGTACAGCTGGCGTTGCATGGAGCTGCAGGCAACCGGACAGCGGAGGCTTGCGAAAAATAAACAATTCGTCACTTCAACGTATAAACAATAGTATAAAAAGCAACATAAACACATATTCTCATGGTCGAACCCATGCACTAGCGGCTCACGGCGGGCACAGGCACGCAGTGCGGTAGCGGTACCGGATCACACGTCATGGGCGTTGTCTCAGCATAGGTTGTTATGAGCGGAGAGGCAACAATACAGCTGAGCGGAGAGGCAACAATACAGCTGAGCGGAGAGACAACATTAAAACAACAGTACAGCTGGCGTTGCATGGATCTGCAGGCAACCGGACAGCGGAGGCTTGCGAAAAATAAACAATTCGTCACTTCAACGTATAAACAACAGTAAATGCAACATAAACACATATTCTCATGGTCGAACCCATGCACTAGCGGCTCACGGCGGGCACAGGCACGCAGTGCGGTAGCGGTACCGGATCACACGTCATGGGCGTTGTCTCAGCATAGGTTGTTATGAGCGGAGAGGCAACAATACAGCTGAGCGGAGAGGCAACAATACAGCTGAGCGGAGAGACAACATTAAAACAACAGTACAGCTGGCGTTGCATGGAGCTGCAGGCAACCGGACAGCGGAGGCTTGCGAAAAATAAACAATTCGTCACTTCAACGTATAAACAATAGTAAAAGCAACATAAACACATATTCTCATGGTCGAACCCATGCACTAGCGGCTCACGGCGGGCACAGGCACGCAGTGCGGTAGCGGTACCGGATCACACGTCATGGGCGTTGTCTCAGCATAGTTTGTTCGCAATCTAGTTGAAGCCTAAGAAGACGGCCAGTGGGGTCTCACTGCTGCTGAGGCGACCTCGGAGACGATGCGTCGCCCCTCCTGTCGGCGACCTGCGGTGAGCAGGACTCCAGATAGCTGGCTGGCACGTTGCCGACACTGCCAGACGCTGTCAGCAGGCCTCACTGGCCACTGCTGCAAGTGATGTGCAGATGTACGCCAGGTGACTTCGTCTGCAGGCGATTCCGGAGACCGCGGCCTCACCAGGCAGTACCACCTGCATCGCCATGTCGGTGTTTCTAGAAATGGAAAAATAACAGTATCGGTGAAGGACAAGCAATACAATGTATTCTGTTTTCCTCTCTTGCAGGTATAGTAATCTACAATTATCATTGTTCCTATTTCATTCAACTGAACCTGAAAATTCCATATTGGCACAATGTTTGACTAAATTTGTGTAGTTGGGAACAGGGGCGACGCCACGGTGCGACGACTGGAGGGGACATTGACCATTTTGGAGGGGACGAGGACCATTTCAAGTCGATTCTTTACATGCAACGCCATAGGCGTAATGTTTGAATTTTAAAAAGTGGAGGGGACGAGATCCCCTCCGTCCCCCCCCCCCCTGTGGCGACGCCCTTGGTTGGGAAGCAGATTGTTTGAAATACATGTTTGGCTGAACAGTGCGGAAAATATTTCATTGATCACTAGAGCTGCAACAAAAATACTAAGACAGAAAACATTTGCGCTTACCTGGCTCCTTAGTCAGTCCCACACAACGGAAGTGGTACCATTTATCGCAGCCGTCGCATCCAACCATCGGTGCTGCACTGATGCTGCTGCACTCCCCACATTCCCAGTACCTTAGGAGCATCTTGGCTGTGAAAAGATTACATGAGTCATGGCGCATACATGAATAGTAAGATGTTTTATATGTTTAACATCGCATAGCAAAGACACAACAGCTGGGAGTCAAGTGTAAGCCAAAGTGTAAGCCCTGCCATGTTTTGCAGACTGGATTTTAACCCTATTCCTGGCGGGCTCCGCCGGGACAAGAAACTGGCGGGGGGGCCGATTCGCCCCCCCCCCCTGAGATCTCGAGAACGAAGCAAGATAGCGACAAACGGTAAACGGCATCGGATACGCACGGTCAAGATCTACAATTTTTACTAAGGTCATTTTCAGGTCAGGTCAAAGATGACGTCACAGGGGTCGAAAAAGTCAAAATGGCGGCGCTAGATATGGAGAGAGTTTTTCTCGAATAACTTTCGAATTAGTCAAGATAGGAACAAACTAAGGGCATCATCGTGATCCTCTCGTCAATCCGCATCGAATGATATATATGTTGACCTCGCAAGGTCAAGGTCAAAGGTTGACCTCAGGTCACGTGACCTCGAGGTCATCATGTATATCATTCGATGCGTCTTGACGAGCTGAACACAATGAGACCATCCACGCGGCTGTATCTTGTTCCTGTACGGAGTTATTGGCCAAAAACCTTTGGTGACCTTTGATGACGTCACATGACCTCACAGCCGCCCAACAGCAAAACAGACCTCAAGGTAGTGAAGGTTGATCGTATATGAAGTCATGTATGGTATATGGGGCCATTCCGACCCGTTTTAGTGGTAAAAACAGGGAGTTGATTTTTCCCCCATTGACTTATAATGGGGAGGTCGCGAAACTGACCTGACCTTAGGTCACCGATATCAAAATTCCGAGATATACACATTGCACATACTGGTACCCTAACTAAAGCCTGAAGAGAAGAAATTGATCGGTCAAAAACTCTAGCTCTGGCGTGATTGCAAACTTTTCTGAGGTAGGGTCACCAAACCGCCTCTGGTGACCTGACCTGAGGTCAGATCAACTCAAAATTTTCAGACATGTTGCGTAGAAGCCTTTTAGGAGAAGTCAGAAAATTTGAGCTTCCTAGCTCAACGCGTTTGGGAGAAATAACCAAAAAACCTCAGGGGGGGCTCCTGAGGCCCCCCCCCCGCCAGGAATAGGGTTAAGCAAGAAAGGCTTTGCTAAAAATGACGCTTGACGAAGCCTCATCCTACTGGGCTGTCTGACATGTCTCCCTGTAAAAAGCATGTGGCCCTTATATTGTATATATGATGAATATGTTAATAATGCAGAGGAAACACAGTATAAATTATACCCAACGTTTCATCTTAATCGACTTTGTTAAGGGTGTTTGAACAGCTTGAGATGAGTGAAGTGTAAGGGTACCTAGGACCTAGGTACATCTGAAAATAAACTGAATCTGCGTTCAATAAACATTGATTTTGATAATACATTTCACAAATCAACTGCTAATAACAATCATACTAAAATAGCACGACAGATAACTAACAATCGCATGAAGAACTTCTAAATTCGCCTTGACTGTCGTCCGAACGAATGTTGACTGAAGTTACACATTTGTCTTTTCTGCGCAGCATTTGTGTTTGCCATTTACCGCACCAATATGTTCGCCAGCGGTGGTGACTTTTCCTTACCTGCTCACGAAACGTCACACACGACATGACGTCACCCGAAGACGTCATCAAAAAGTCCAGCTCTTAGGCGTGTCCTGTGTGTCGGGTATGATGTATAGTGTGTGTTTCAAATTTAACGGCGGCGTCCTGTGGTATTAATCAAATTCAGGAATTCTTCAGCGACGGGGGGACGTTCTGCCTAGGAGGGGTAAGTTTCTTGTCTCTGGATTCGGCCATCCGGGTCAGGGTTTGATTCCCGTGTGATGCGCGTCAGCGTGGCGCACGTGGCGGCAACGTGAATTGCAACGTGAAGGGCGTTTTTTTAAAAACGTTCAGCGATAGATAAGAGCACCAGTATACAGGGTGATTTTTTTTTAATTGTTAAAAAGTAAACGTCAATGGTGGTCCCTAAATCTAAAAATCGCGTGCAAAAAAGCAATGCACGTGACAGATAAATCTGGGACATTTTGTATGGTGTCATCATTTGTCCCTTTTCACCGACGGCCTCGGTCCCAATGGAGCCTGAAAATGTCCCACCAATCGGGCACGCATGATCCACTGCCGTTCAGTAATGAATGACACAAAACGATGATTTTGAAGCATTGAGGCAGTTCGAAGCATACGATCATCAAGGAGATACCTCAGAAAGACGTTAAATAACGCACGAACAAGCTTGTAGTAATAAATAACCTTCAAACGGTCTATCTGGTGTAAGTGCAGCCTCTGAAGAATCAGTCTTCAGGGAGAAAGAAAAACAGCGAATCAGACACCACCAGGGCCGCGGCGCCGCCAGTATCAAAATCCTCGACCTGCCCTCCCCAGACTTCTAGTTTTTGGACCCATATATGGCAGATATAATGAGAAAACAGTGGAAATATCTGGCAGAGCTGAAAATGGGTGATAGAAGCCTTTTCAGTCCGCCTAATGAGCATGGGAGTCCGTGGTGCTGTTCAACACGTGCTCAGGCGGGCTGATTCGTGTCGGTGAGAGAGGGGGTAACTTCAAGCACAAGTAAAATACACGATGGACGTTCCTTCGCATTGTGTCTGCATGAAATCAAAATGTCCCAGAATGCTCGTCATCCTGGTATATAATTTTGCAACATATATTTGCATTTTAACGCCACTAGACCTCATTACTTTTTAACAAGTAAAAGAAATCACCCTGTATATGTTACAGGCAAAGAGAAAATCCGGGCATTTTGCAAAATGCCTACGTATTCGTAGAGGAACTGTACTTGGAATTTCAATATCACTGACCTCAGGGTTATGTTGATTTTGCGACCTTTCTATTATAGGTAAGTCAACAGGAGACAATTGAACTGCGCCTCTGTTGCACAAAATTCATATAAACATACTTAACAATGCACTCAAATAACGGGACACAGGTAGCCGCAGCAGGGAAATGTGACAACCTTAATTAAAATTTCGAGATATACCTACATTTTGTACATACTGTTACTCTTATCAATCGCTGAAAGTTTCAAGCCTCAAGGCGATTGTTCAGTCGGTGTAGCTATGACGAGGATTGAAACTTTTTCTGAGGTGAGGTCACTTGACCTGACCTGGTAACCTGACCTTGAGAGCCCTGGGCCTGAAATTTTCACAATGTGTGGAAAAGATGCCTGAACAGTGACATAGGCGGCAGAACGGGGAGGGCACTGGGGCACCGTGCCTCCCTTTGATTTTGGCATTTTAACATTAGCCCTATGGGCGCTGGCCGCTGCATGGAAAGAATGGGATCAAAAGTTGGCAGTGCCCCCCTTAATTGGAGGTGTTCCGCCGCTACTGCCTGCTGAACGCGCCACCGTTTTTTAGATATCTGCGAAAAACTGCAGGGGGGGATGTTCAAACACCCCACCCAGCCTGGCGCTGGTTAAGTGATTAACCCGCACCCCGTAGATCTAGCGGCAGACCCTACCACCCGTGGGGGGGGGGGGCGTTTCGGCCCCCCCCTAAGATCTCGGAAATTTACCGGCCGATTTCCAAAATTCAAACGCCGTTCGATAGCCCCACCGGGGAACTACCTTGTGACCAAATTTCATTGACCTAGGTCAAACCGATGACGTCACAGGTCAGGTCAAAGCATTCACAGGCATTTCAAGAAATGTGTTGTGAAATCGAGTACCTAAATTGGTAATTTATTGAAAACCATCGATGGTTCATTGTTCGTCAAACACATACTTCGCTATCTGAGGTCACTGATACCAGGTCAGGTCACAGAGGTCAGGTCACTGGACTGGGGGTCACAATATGAAAGTGTCACGTGATACATGTTTTATGGTCCATTTTACATGACAAATGCGATTATGTGGCTCAGGCAGCCTTTGGGGCCAGCTTAGGTGGCGTTTTGGTGAAGGTCAGGTCAAGGTCAGGTCAAATTAGGTCAAATTTCAAAGTTGATATTTTGCATAAAATGGGTATCGATTCGATGCAGCTCGTCACGAGGAGTCCAATGGTTTCCAGCCAGGCGGCAGCACTGACGGGTGACATAAGGCCACTAAATACTACATTTCCTCCTCCCCTACAACAAAAATAGTGACTTCATTTCACAGCTCATATTCGCCCGTGCCAGTAAAGTGTAAAGTAACTGAACTTCTAAGTACAGCAGACGCAAAAGCAGAACAACATCCGAGACCTCAGGCGATTATTACAGTACGACAACCGGTTAAGTATTGAATCCATAGTACACTGGAGCGCGAACAGCTCTTCCCGATCTCGTTGTCACTCCTGTGCCCGTCTCCGGCAGCCTTGGTCGGACGACACCAGACTCCTCCTCCGCCGTGCTCGTCTGCCCTTGCTGAAGGTCGGTTCGCGTCCGTCGCCCTCCAGTCCCTGTCGCCGTCCCAGTGTCAGGCTGCGTCGACGAGCGGCCGCTGGTCGTTTCGTCCGCCTCCAGGGGCGTCGGCGGCACGTCCAGCTGCTGCCCGTCCCGCCGGAGGTGACTGTCAGTTGTCTCTGGTTCCGGTATCGCCTCCAGCCTGTCCTGCTCCTGCTGCTCCAGCCGGTCGTGGTCGCCAGACGACTCCAGCTCCGCGTCAGTCGGTCCCGTCCGGTCGGCTGCACCGTCCGGCTGCGCCGGCTCGCCTCTCCGGTCGTCGATCTCTGCTGGGCAGCTACCGGCGCTCCGCGTCAGGCGGTCAGCGTGGACGCGGGTGCCGTCATCCAGCAGATAGCTCGCTGGCCCCCGCTGCTGCACGATCCTTTTCGTCGCCGAAAACCGGAGCTGCCCCTTCCGCGCCTGCGGAGGAAGCCGGTGTCGGACCTGGTCTCCCACAGAGAAGCTGGGCGTCTTGACTCCGTGGGAGCGGTCGAAGTACGTCTTCTGATAGGTTTGTTTCCGCTTCACGTGCTCATGCAGGTCACCAGGTCTCGCTGGATGACGTCCGCCGACGTCCAGTGCCGCGCTGAGCTTGCCCCTCATGGGTCGTCCGTGAAGCAGCTCAGCCGGGCTCCTTCCAGTGGTCGCCTGCACCGTACTCCGGTACGAGAACAGGAACATCTGCAGATATTGAGACCGGTCAGCCTTTTCCAGGTCAGCTATCTGAAGTGCCGCTTTCACTGTTTTGTTGGCTCGCTCTACTTGACCTGATGACTGTGGGTGGTAGGGAGACACTTTGATATGGGCAACACCCACATTCCGCAAGTAAGAAGCGAATCGTTCCGACGTAAATGCAGACCCACAGTCAGATACAATCTCTCTCGGGTACCCTTCCCGGCACGCCAACTTTTCCATAAACTGTATCACCACCTCTGACGTTGGGTGCTCGCAAAATCCCACCTCGATCCATTCGAATAGTAGTCGATAGCGACGACGGCAAACCTCTGGCCGGGTCGACCTCCACTCATTGGCCCGATGAAGTCGATTCCCAGTTTAGACCATGGCTCACATGGGAGTTGAACGGGCTGCATGGGCGCGTGTCGCGGTGACGCCGTCTTGTCTGCGAGAGAGCAGATCTGACAGCCCTTTACCTGTTCCTCCACAGCCTGGTCCATGCCTGGCCACCAGTACAGGTCTCGCAGTCTTTGCTTTGTTCGGACGATGCCTTGGTGTCCTTCGTGTGCCAGTTCAACCAGTCTCGTCCGGAGCGCCGCAGGTACCAGGACTCGACCGCCACGCAGGATGACGTCATCTTCTACCGCCAGCTCGTCTCTGCAACGGAAGAAGGGCTGCAGTTCGGGCACGCACTCACCATAGCGTCTGGGCCACTGGCGCGGTATCTGCTGCCTCAGCTTACTGAGAACCGGGTCCGACTGTGACGCCGCCCTCAGCTCCGCGCCGGTCACCGCGGCCCGCTCCTCCGTCAGGGCCGCAATCACCAGCTGTTCGTCGTCTGACGCCTCCTGCACTGATGATGGAAGTCGAGACAGCCCATCTGCCGGGTTGATGCGCCCCTTGACGTGCTCCACTGTGAAAGAATATTCCATTAACCGACACGCCCAGCGAGATATGCGCATTCCTGCCCTGCCGATCCCACGTGATGTCATCAGGGTAGTCAGTGCCTGGTGATCGGTCCTCAAGACAAAGTCCCTGCCCCACAGCTATATGTGCCACTTCTCGATGGCCCAGACACTAGCCAACGCTTCTCGTTCCGTGACACTATAGTTGCGTTGCGCAGTCGACAGCGTGCTGGATGCGAACGCAACCACTCTCTCACCCTCGGGGTGCATCTGCGTGAGCACCGCCCCGATGCCCACGTCACTGGCGTCTGTCGTCACCGCTGTGGAGAGGGTTGGGTCATACATGGCCAGGGCGGAGCTGCTCAGAATCGCTGCTCTGACGTCCTCGAACGCTTCGTTCATCTTCGACGTCCACGCGAACGGCGGAGCGTTCTTCCTCAGGGGCTGCCGCAGCTCCTCCACCCTGGTGCTGTACCTGGGAATGAACCGACCGTAGAACCCAAACAATCCCAGGACTGCCTGCAGCTCCTTGACTGTACCTGGCGGCTTCATGTCTCTCAGGCCCTGCACACGGTCGGGGTTCACGGCGACACCCTCCCGGGACACTGAGAACCCCAGGAAGTCGATACGGCTCACCCCGAAGTGACACTTGTCCTTGTTCAAGGTCACATTGTACTCGCCGAGTCGTGCCATGACGTCACTCAGACGGCGGTCGTGCTCCTCCTTGGTCCGTCCCGACACGATGACGTCATCGAGGTAAACCTGAGCACCAGGTAACCCTCGCAGGATGGTCTCCATCATCTTCTGGAAGCAGCTGGGGAGTGATCGGAGACCAAAACAACACCTCAGATAGCGGAACACTCCCTCATGCGTTACAAACGCCGTCAACTGTCTGGACTCCTCATGAAGCAGCAGCTGGTGATAAGCAGCCTTCATATCGAGAGTCGAGAACACTTCAGCGCCAACCAAGTTGTCCAACATCTCCTGCATGTCAGGTAACGGGTAGCCACTGGTGCACACCGCCTTATTTACCACGCGCAAATCGACACATAGTCTCAGCTGACCTGATCGGCGCCTTGATACGACGATCGGAGAGATCCATGGCGACCCGTCGACCCTCTCGATGATCTGCTGCTTCTCGAGGTCTTGGAGGTGCTGCTTCACTTCCTCACGAATAGAGAACGGCAGCGGCCGGAGCTTCTGTTGAACGGGCACAGCACCGTCCCGTAGCTGTACTCTGTGGACAAAACCACGGATAGGTGGCAGCACACTCATAGCCTCATGACTCATAGGTGGCAGCACCACTGCGTTTGTCACTAACCTCTGTGTAGCGCTGTCCTGATCGTTGCCGGCCTCCACGTCACTGGATCGTCCCGGCTGCCGATCGACCTCATACACTGTGGAGCCGTGCCAGGTGGAGATGCAGAGACTCTTCTGGAGGTCCCTGCCGAGCAGTGGCGTGCCGCCGTCCACCACGTACAGGCGGCCCTGGCAGCTCCGCCCGTCCTCCGTCTCCACCGATGCTGTGATGACGCCCGTCACCACCAGCTGGCTGCCTCCGTACGCCCGGAGGTTCACTGTCGTGGGTAGCAGCGGCCTGTGGCTCAGCGCGGTCTCGTACAGCTGGCGAGGGATGATGGACACCGCTGCACCCGTGTCGACCAGCATCGTCACCCAGTTGCCGTCCAGCCGGACGTTAAACTGCAGAGCAGAGTCGTTTTGATTGACTGCCAGAACTTCCACTACGTCTGGCTCCACGGCTCTCACCTCCTTAGCAGGTTTCTGAGGGCACCGTACAGCGAAATGTCCAACAGTCCCACACCGTCGACACTTTTGGCCCTTGGCTGGACACCAGTCATCAGTAGACACGTGACCCCGGCGACCACAAGCATAGCAGAACTTGCCTTTTGTTTTGTCGATCGGCGGTCGTTGTGCTGGTGTCTTATCTCGCGCCGTGTAGGCCACCTCCAGCGGCTCGGTTGCCGCCGCCGCCCGGCTCGGCTGCCCGCCGTCATCTCCCCCGAACAGCCGCCGGCGCTCCACCGCCCGGTCGTCGGCCATGGCGATTGACTCCAGACGCTGCAGGGTCAGATGGTCCTCAGCGCACAGACGATTACGGAGATGGTCAGACGTGCATCCCTCGACAAACTGATCTCGAATCATCTCGTCTTCCAAGGCTCCAAATGCACAATATCTACTCTGCTCTCTTAATGTAGTTATGAACGAGGCAGTAGACTCCCCAGTCTTCTGCCGAAGCCTACGGAACTTGACTCTTTCTGACATGATATCCCGCGGCTTATCAAACAAATGCTGAAGGAGTGACAAACACTGTGCCATTCCCCCGTCTTCCGACTTCACCTGTACCCGGGAGTCCGTTCCCGAGTCCGTTCCTGTGCCGGTGTCACCTGGCAGCGGCGCGTCCTGAGGCTCCGCCGCTGGCACCGCCGCCGCCTCCGCCACCCGGTAGCGCCGCCGACCCTCCTGCCCGAGGCAGTGCAGCAGAAGCGCGCGCTGTCTGGCCTCATCCCACTGAGACCAGCCGATGGTCGTGGCGTACAGCTCAAAATCCGCATACCAAGCACTCCAAGGAACACTTCCAGCCGCGGCCGTGTCCATGAAGGGTCCCGGCGGACGAATCCCGTCCATGGTCGCCTCCGCTTGAGCGCACTCACTCGTCGCCAAAATGTACTGTCTTGCCGTGTATTGGCAGAACACACAAAGTCAAGACAGTTATTAATAAAACGACATAACGCACAGCAGCACCGCAGCCGAGCGTCCACCGCGAGCTCCGCACCAAGACTGCCCTCGTCCCTGACCCCGGCCGCTCGGCCCTCCAAGGTCACCCGCCAGGCGGCAGCACTGACGGGTGACATAAGGCCACTAAATACTACACCTATCATAGCCTCTGGAAAATTTTTTGGTCACAATGTGTAAAATTGATGCCCGAAGGGGTCCTGAAAGTTTGGTGGCGATATCTCCAGTGGTTTAGGAGATATCGACGGAAAAGGACGGGGGGGGGGCGTTTCGGCCCCCCCACGGGGCGCGGGTTAACCATCGAGAGCAAAGAAAAAAGGCTACAGGTGGGCCGATTCTGCTTCCTATCCCCCCCCCCCACACACACACATCAGTTATAAGGCTAATACCTAGGTGTGTACAATTTGCTTTTTACCATGCCATTGAAACACTAGGTAGTAAGCAAACATTAGTTCACCAAGTTCTGGAAAAGTGCAAAAACTGATCAAGTGATCACTGATGTCAAGGAAATATCCGGAGCATTCATTTATATATCCTGAGAAGACAGATCTAGGTGCCTGATTACCAGCCTACCAAAGTTCATACATGGTGACTCATGCATATTGTCTATTATGCTGGTCTGAACTGCTTTTGGTACATGTGCTCTTTTTCAGATACTGACCAAGCGTCCTTTGAAGATCTTTTCCATAAAAGTAAAATGTCACAGTCTAAGGAGCTTCAGTGCTACAATCGTGGATGTGGAAACAAATATAATCCAGAAGAAAATAAACAAGGTAAGTCTATGATAAGATAAATAAAAGAAATTTACCTTTTCCTCGACATCAAAAATGAAAAAACCGAATAATATATATAAGAAAAAAATGGTGAGCTTTCGGCCACTGGCCTTTATAGACTTAATAAGGTAAGTCTATGTTCTTCTCATAAGCATTGTTTCAAAATGTGGGTGCTGACTTAGTTAGACTGCATGTCATGACAATTTAAATTAGGCCCTGGTGCGAGTTGGAGTGTTGCTCGGCTGGTGCAGGTGACGTGGCTTTATGTGCCCCTGTGGTTCAGATCTGCGGCCCAGGCTGTGGTATAGTGCTGGACTATGATGCTGCTGTGACTTTTTGGAAGATGACGCTTATGCGGTGTACACCGTAATTTGGTGTTGGGTGGGATGCCCACCCTGCCCGACATCGACTAGGGTTCGACCTCGAGCTCAGGACTGGGTCAGTTGTCGGTCAGTGGTCGGTCAGTCCGCTGACAGACCGATTCGCTGGCTGGCGAGGCTGTATGTCCTCCCAGTTCAAGGTTTAACTTTCTTACTGTACATAGTGGATAATTGTGATACGCATGCAAAACAGAAGCATAACAAAAGTACGAGTTAAAATGTGTTGTGTGTTCGTTCCAGATTCGTGCACATTCCACCCTGGAGCGCCATTCTTCCACGATGCTTACAAAGGCTGGTCCTGCTGCAACAAGAAAACAGTTGACTTCACCGAGTTTCTCAACACAAAGGTATATCCCGAGTCCCGACTGAATGTTTACTTATGGCACGACTGGACTAAATATTCTAATGTAGATAGTGAGACCTGTCCGGCTGTCTCTTTGTTGATAGTTCCTGTTTTGTGTTTGGTATTGCGTTTGACTTGAGTAGCAATCAGATGTAACATCAAACATTCACAGCTCATCGTTCAAGTGCATGGAAACGTCTCTCATCTGTCATATGACTTAACCATCCCCGCTGTTCTTAACCCACCGTCGCCCTCCTTCAGGGGTGCACCAAAGGCTTCCACAGCGACGTGAAGCCAGTGGAGCCCGAAAAGCCCAAGAAGGAGTCGTCGCCGCCCTCCGCCGGGGAGCAGATCTTCTCCCCGCAGGCGCCCAACAGGAAGATCGAGCCGCCCAAGCCGCGGCCGCCGTTTGACACTCCGATGGTACGCGTCCTGCGTGTGTGGAGGACCGCAGAATCGGCGTGACACGCGAGCTCGACTGGTGGAGAGACGGTGAAAGGTTTTCAACTTGTGACTTTTCGTAGAACATTTACTTACTGTTTGGCTATTTTGTGTATTACGATAAATGTGTTGCATGCTCATGATAAATCATGTGAGCAGTATTTTTCTCATCTGCTACAGGTACGCCTACAGTGCAGAAAGGTTTGCTGTGTAGGTATCACAAAATTTAAACTAAACTAAATAGTTTTATTCTAGCAAAAGGCAACCATAATTTTTAAGCATCCTGATTCCTGACATACTGTTTTCCTCGCCCCCGCCGAGCTGCGCTGATTCGAGCCGCTTTTCGTCACAGGTGCTGCTGCCCTGCACAGTGTCGCCCTCTCTGAGCCAGGCGCTGAAACAGCGGGCCAGCAGCGTGGCCGACCCGAGCCGGGGGGACGCCAACCAGCTAGTGCCCGGTACTAGCTGTAAGAACGGCGGCTGCAAGGAGGTGAGGCAGCGCGACTGCTGGTGCGATGGGTCATGTGATGGTGGTTGACTTGAACTGTAAGATATAGTGATGAAGGCTACCCAGTGACTGCCTGGAGCCTGGAGGGGATGTAATACTAGGGTGGAGATTGGGTGTGTTTTGTTCCGTGTGTTTTGTTCCTTGTGTTTTTATTCGTGGTGTGCTGGAGAACTGCAGACATGACTAGCTCCTGGTTAGAAGAGGGACGTGTTGTGTTCCATGGCGAGCTTGGGGACTGGTTAGTGGTTATGACTCGTTAAAGTGGAGCTGCATACAAATGTCTATCCTGCTGGTGAGATCACCAAGGGTTTTTTTTATTATGACCATCGTGCGTCTGCGTCTGTTCCAGACGTACGGCGACTGCAGCAGCGAGTGCCGGTTTCACAGCGGAGTGCCCATCTTCCACGAGGGCATGAAGTACTGGTCGTGCTGTCAGCGAAAGACGTCCGATTTCAGCGCGTTCCTCGCGCAGGAGGGCTGCACCACAGGCGACCACCTCTGGATCAAAAAGAAGGTACGCTGGCTGCTGGTGGCCGTCTCAGGTCCGAACGCACCGCCGATATTGACTGTGATAGAAGTGGTATCAATGTGGTCAGTAAATTGATGGTGATGAGCTTAACACGCGCACTGCAGGGGGGGGGGGGTTGTTTTCAACCCCCCCCCCCTGTGGTTTTTCGCAAATCGCGAGAAAACGGCGGCGCTACAATTTTGCATACCTGTTCTCCCAACTTTTGCACACCTTGAGTAAAAATTTTGACCCCAGGTGACCTATGGTCAGGTCACCAGGTCAGGTCAAGTGACCCTACCTCGAAACGTAAATTTCGAAGTTTGCAATCCCACCAAGCCCACAGTTGTTGAGATATGATCTTGAAACCCACAGGAAATAGTAAAGTCATCACGAGCTACAACTTGTATATCTCGGAATTTTTATATCGATGACCTAAGGTCAGGTCATTTTTGCGACCGGCCCATTATAAGTCAATGGGAGAAATTTCAACTTACTCTGAATGCCATCCTATGACTTCAATACGCTCAGGATCATAGTATTACAGGTCCCTGTTGGTGATTTCACCGAAACATATCACTTATGACCTTTGGAAGGTGATCTCCAGGTCATCTTAGGTCACCTGAGGTCACCAGCGGTTTTTCTTCAATAACTTGAGATTGAATAGAGATAGAGACTCCGTTCGACGTTTATTGTGTTTTTCTCGTCAATGCGGATCGAATGATATGCAACATGACCTATTTCGGTCAGGTCATGACCTTGACCTGAGGTCAATTTTTCAACTTGACCTTTCGAGGTCATATCATATATCATTCGATGCGCCTTGACGAGCTAAGAACGATGGCGTTCGAATCGATCCTCTGTCTTGTGTGCAAGGCAAGTTATTCAAGAAAAAACTACCGCGAAATTCCTGTTGTGAAAATCGTAACATTTTGTCTTCGGTGACCTCTGGTGACCTCGTTTTTGACCTGACCCAAAAATGATCTTAGTATTTCTTGTAGATCTCATCTCAACCTATCCAACGCCGTTTACCGCTTGTCGCTACGTTGCGCCGTTTTCGAGATCTCAGGGGGGTTGTTTTCAACCCCCCCCCCCCTGCAGTTCGTGTTCGGCTCAGACCCGCTGCAGTGCGCGTGTTAAACCTAAAGCATGTTGCCTAGGATTCTGGTTAGGTGTTTGAAACTAGACGATGTGGTGCTACTGTGACCTCGGCAAGAGAATTGAAAGAATGATGTTTGAGCGAAAATTGCACCTACTTGCACTAGCCCGAATAACCCTCAACCATCTGTATTAGGCATAGTGTGTCAGTGCATGCCATATTTTAGAGCATCTGAATCTAGCCTACCTAACTAGTGTTGATTTGCCCAGCGTACGTACTTGCACCGTCCAATGGCGACCTGACCTGACCTCTGGCGATAATCCGACCTCTTTTCTGACCCCCCAGGAGGGCGACTCTAAGCGCACCAGTTGTCGGTACGACTGGCACCAGACCGGCTCGCACGTCATTGTGGCCATCTATGCCAAGTTTGCGCAGCCGGAGCTGTGCCGCGTGGAGGCTGGGCCGATCCGACTGAGGCCCCATATCGAGTTTGGCGACAACCAGGAGTTCGAGGTCGACCTGGAACTGCGCGGGGTCAGTGGCCATTACGGGGACGGGCGGTTGGACGGTGGTGCCAGATCCTAGATATTTGATGGGAAATTATTTTGACAGTATCTTAAATGTTCGGCGAACTTGGCGGTGATCTTTTGTTCAACGCTAGCGTAGTTTTGAATTTTTTTTGTGTTTTCAGTGACACTTTTTGTTTTTGATATCATAGTTGTCAAGTCAAGTGTAGTTGTGAGTGCTGCAGTGCTGGCAGTGACTGTTTTGCTCGGGTCACTGGTAGTTTGTAAAATTATTCAAGTGAGTATTTTCGTCACGATTTTGTGTGCCGCCCACAGGTGATCGATCCAGCAGCCAGCTCCGTCCAGCTGATGGGCACCAAGGTGGAAATCAAGCTGAAAAAGGCCGAGGCCATGTCCTGGAACGTTCTGAGCGTGCCTCGTGCCGAGCCCGCCCCTGTCGCCGACACCCCCAAATCGGACACGGAGGCGGTCACACAGCGAGTGGACGCAGTCGACCTGAGCGACTTGTAGTCGGCACTGCGGCCGGGCCGGTCGGTACGCGCTGTTGGCAAGTTTTGGCACCAGCTAACACCGGCGGTGATCTGTGGTGATGTCAGTGGTGACCGCTCGATTAGTGACCGACGGCAGTGCACAGTGACCGGTAGTGGCCCGCACAGTGACCGTTTTTAGCGTCTGCGGAGATGTGATCCGCCGCTGTGACCCCCGACCAGCCGAGAGCGGAAGAGGAGGGCGCCGCCTATCGACGCAGGTGCTGAGTGTACTCCTGCCTTTGGCTGGACACCAGAAGAGTGCCCCCGCGGATGGTGCGAGTCGAGTTGTCACGCTGCGCAGTCTGTCGGCTGTCTGTGTGCGCAATTCAAGACAGAGTGTTTGTGGAGAGCTTGTCCGTTCGCCGCGGCGTATGGACGACTGCGACAATATTGAAGAACAGAGCAAAAGGGAGTAAGGCGACTCCGACTGGTCCTTTGTCCCACAAGAGCCATTTGTTTTCCGGTCCCGGCAGAAACTCCATAAAGCGGTGCCCTTGTTTTAGTTTACGTTGCTCGGTCTGTGTCCTTAGATCAATTCTCCCTTGTTAATCTTTCTGGAAACTCATGTCAATTGCTCTCATTAGGAACTTCGCTCGCTTCCTTCCCCACTCGATGTGAATATTTTTTCAAGGGATGTTGAGTGAAGCACTCGCTTCAAAACTTTGGCGATCTTGTCAATGGCAGAAAACCGTCCTTGCAGGCATTCGTTGCTGAACCGTTTTCACTTCGGCGCGACTTATCATCGTCATAAATTGCTTTAACCCGCGCCCCACTGGGGTCTGCGTATAACACGCCCTACTGGGGGGGGGGGGGGGCTATTCATAGCCCCCCCCCCCTCCTAACTCCGAAACTACTGGGCCGATCGTCAAAATTCAAACGGCGTCTGATAGCCCCGGAAAAACTGTCGAGCGAAACCTAATTTCATTGACCTCAAGGTCACCGATGACGTCACAGGTCAGGTCAAAGTAAAAATTATTAGCATTTTGCTTGTTCACGTTTTGGGCTCTGGCCGCCGTCTTACAAGTCAGATCAGGCTCATTTTTGGATCACACACTCGTGAACAGATGCTCTAGATACCCCGAGGGTACCAAACTTGTACTTTGATTTTCAGGTCAAGGTCAGGTCATCACAGGTCACGAAAATATTATATCATGCGTCGGTCACGTGACACATGTTTTATGGTCCATTTAGGCCAGAGATTTCGAATGTGATGTCGTGTGTGTCATTTGAGGTCATTTTGAGTCGAATTTAGCTTAGGTCAGGTCACTTTCAGGTCAAAAAAGGTCAAATTTTGAAGTTGAAATTTTTCAACAAAAAAGGTGTCTATTGGATGCAGTTTGAGCTCAGGAACACGATGGTGCTATTTATATTGGCGTACGATGTCAAATACGTGCTGAAAAATTGATTTGAAAAATTAATAATTGTGATTTTTTTGCAATAATGCGTAAAACTTGACCATTTTTGAAGATATTTAGCTAAAACTTGCTAGAGTTAGTCATAATAATGCGTTCTATCACATATATTCCGGTTTTTTCGAAAAGTCAAAAACTTTTTGAAAAAAATGGAAAAATATAAATTTTGGATTTTATTATATCAAATTTTCGAAATTTTCAAAATTTCGAAAAACCGAGATAGCAGTTTGATAGCGCAGTCTATTCTGAGTCCTCTCATGCAAAGAAATTGGATCTAGCTTAAAAACTGAGCTCTTGGGAGCGATTGCCGTGGTTCAATGTTTTGCGTCGAAATCGGCTGAACATGACGTCATTCTGACGTCATTTCCGGCCGACCTATGGTAGCTGCGAAGTTAAAATTTTGACACAAGGTGTCAAATTGATGCAGCCGAAGGTACTGAAAGTTTGGCGTCGATACGTCAAGCGGTTTGGAAGTTATTGCAGAAAAACGGGAGGGGGGGCTATAAATAGCCCCCCCCCCAGTGGGGCGCGGGTTAATGACCCAAATGTCAGTGTGGCCAGCTTGCCAGCAGTGTTCGTTGTTTGCGGCCAGCTGGTGAAGTCAGTGCTGGCGGTTTTACAAGCAAATATCGGTCTCAAATGCGGTGAAATCTGTGCATGGTGGCATGGAGTCAGTGCCGCCCCACCGGAGCGAGGTGGCAGTGCCCCCTAGTGTCCAATATACACCTGAATGAGCACGCTGTGTATGGACGATGGCCGATGGGTATACTAGTCGCAGGCACCAGCAGACACAAGCTCGTGACGGCTTCGGGCCACCTGTTTGTTAACGAGGAACCGTGACGTTACTACAATAATCTTTGCAGGTTTGCTGTTCTGATGAGATTTAAACCATCCTCAGTCCTCACTGAACGAACGTGCCGCAACTCAGTCTCGCGTTGCCAGCGCATATATGCAGAGTCACATGAAACGCGCTGCCGAAAGACTCGCCAATCCCGAATCCACTGTCACACGGACCCCCTGGATGCAATATTCACAAGTCGCGACACTAAGACGATCGCCACCTACCTCAAACGCTCAACTTCTCAAGACAAAACACCGTAGTTGGCAATGTTTATTTATAAGTAAAGACGTGAAAAAGAGCGTGTAAAAATCACCAAGATCAACAAGTTTGCGGGTCGGCTGGCGGGGAGCACTGGGAGACAGGGAGACAAGTAGGGGCCGGGCGAGACGGCACTCAGCGACCCTGCGCCGCCGCCGCCGCCGCCGCGGGCGCAATCACTCGCACACGCACTCTCGCACACTCGGGCTGCGGCCGCTCACTCCTCTCACTCGTCACTCGCACTCGCACGCGCGCGCTCACTCCGGGTTGGCACGTTCACGGAAGCGACAGAGCGGCATCGACCTCGGCAACACGGTCAGCAGTAGCAGCAGCACCGCCATAGGCGGCGGCGGCGACGGCGGCGATCACACTACCAACGGCGTATAACATTATGACAAAATATGAACTCTGTATATATAGATATCGGCATATGGGGGCGCTTCGGGCGCCCGGCGTGTGACCGTGGGCGCCGCTGCCGGGGCGCCGGTGCCGCGCGCGGCCGGCCCCGGTGCCGCCCCAACACGGTCTGACTAGGAGGGCCTGCCCCGCGCACCGTCCGGGCCGGCCGGACGCGCCGCCCGCCCGCCCGCTCGCCTCCGACCGCCGGCTCAGATCTCTACCAATCCAAATAAATTATCTCGTCAACAACACGTCACGACGCCATAGTCAGACGGCGCACGCACGTCACACGTACACCGGATCGTCCACCATACGCTGAGCTCCGTTCGACGGGCCGTAGCCGTCGAAAAACCGCCGGAACGTGAACTCGAAGAAGCCCGGGTGCTCGGCGTCGTCACCGCCGGTGGCACTCGACTGGGCAGCATACTCCGAGTCCGAGTCCGAGTCCGACTCGCGCACTCGGTCGTCATCCACCGGGTCAAAATTGCTAGTGTCCGTGGGGTACCGAATGCGCGGCACGTACGGGGCCGGCATGCGGCGCACACCCTTCTCAAAGTCTATGCTGGCGAAGAACGGGTGCGCCTTCACCTCGGCGGCGCCGTTCTTGCCCAGCCGCCGCTCGGGGCTGGTGAGCAGGCGCAGGATCAGCTCGCGCGCCTCACCGCTCATTCGCGCCTGCTTTGGGATCTTGAGCGTCGTCTCGAAGTTGATCACCTGAGGAAGGCATGGAAGCGATGTTACTGTGGAGCGCTAAGCAGAGCGAACGGTTCCGCGACGCGAAACTAGTTAGTACACAGCACAGCACGTGTACTGACAATATTACGATCTTATTACGATCTAAGACCGGACACAGGGCAAGCAATCCGTTACAACGCAAAAACCGTCGATTATCTTTGAGGCCTGTTCGGAAGTGTATATTCTGTGTCGCCAACGGTCGAGCGCACAGGAAGCTGACTTCCAATAATGATCTAGCACAGCTCGCGATGAGAAGCCACCTGTGACCGTTGGCTCTCGAGAAAGCGATCATGTGCGAGTAACACAGCAACTTAGCGGTATGCCGAGGCAGTAATAAAAAACAGCACACTGCACAGAAATGCAATTTCACCAACACACATTTGGCTTTGATAAAAAAACAACCCAAGAAATTATACAAAGGGATAAACCTGACAAACTGCCCGCGGTGTCCAAGAGATGGAACATTTACTGTCTGCAGCAGCCTGCTATCGCCAGGGACACGGTCCATCCATCCTGCTCAGTACCCAGCTCAGCTCAGCCTACCTTGACTTGCGTGTCGGCCGGTACAGACGCCAGGAAGGGCGGCTGGCCGACCAGCATCTCGTACAGGATGACGCCGACGCTCCACCAGTCGCAGAGCTGAGTGTAGCCGGTCCTCATCAGCACCTGCCGGAGCGCGCCGAAAGGTCAGCCGCCGCCCGCGGCACAGGTGGCGCCACACGCGGCCAAGCGGGGATCAACGGCGAAAGGAGACCCTCCCTTTGGCTGTCTTAAAACGCAAATCAACTAAGTGGACACTATATTTGTCTCGGAAGGCAGTTCAATTATTCTGAATCAGTCATTACGCCTTCAATATATTACTTGAAATCAAGAGATGGTCCGGTTCCACGAATTTGTCGCTAGAATTGGAGAAAATATTCCCTCTTGAGATATTTTAGAACTTTCTCAAGAGCTCGAGAGAAACCTCCAGGGCGTTGCCAGATGGCGCTTCGGCCAGGGTACCAACAGGAACGCCAGCGCGCGTTCTGCCAGCCCAGAACTGTGACGTCACGCCAGCTGACGGCCGCTCTTGGCGGAGGATTTTAGATAGCAAAAAACGAACCCGCGCGCAGGGTGATGAAAATGAACGGAATATTATGAGAGATTTAAATCTCTTGGCGGATGAATAGCAACCGGGAAAACGCTTTGATGACCAGTGTGTTACATAATTATCCATTCTGCACGAGCTTGAGCAATGACCACTTGTAAGATACTAGAGGTTACACATTGCACTTCCTGACGCTTAATTCATCAGTTAAGTACCTTTAACACGAAAAAAAAAATGATAACTAGTCTTGCCTGAACTCGAGCGTAAATGAAATATAAATGGCACCGATATCAATCATCCACTGGCGATCGGGGAGGGATGGGGAGGGGTATCGGCAGTTGCCCCTCCAGCAGCGTTCCTAATAAATAGACGTTAAGCTATCCATTTTCCTCGCAAAGAAAATAAAACAACTTTCATAGTCCAAAGATCAAGAACGGAAGCAGAATCCGAGTTCTTTTGAATAACTATTTTGGGAGTAAGCCCTCACACGTCAGCATCCAATACCGCCTTTCTGAATTTGGATCTGCCAATGTAGTTAGCAGTCATCATTCAGTCATCAATACAGGACTGACGGTATAGTGCATTTTTTTATTATTGGCTGCGGTAAACGATTCTGCCTTTCTAGGCTTCTATTTTCCTTACAACTGTTCGGAAGTGTATATTCTGTGTCGTCAATGATCAGACGCACAGGAAGCTGACTTCCATGCTCATCTAGCACGCACTTTCTGGGAAAACCACTCACAAAGAATGGCTTCACATTCAAGAAAGCATGCCTACCCCTTCTCAAACACTCCAGCCCCGTCTGTTTTTCCCTCCCACTGTTGTTTGCCGTACGGGGACGAGTGGCGGTGTACTAGCTCAGAAGTCACTAACTCAAATGTCACTAGCTATTCTGACGTGCACCCGTTTCATGCATCCCTCCCGTTTCTCTCCACTGTGTCTCACCTCCGGGGCTATGTAGTTGGGCGTGCCGACCAGCGAGTGGGCCTCGCAGCGCTGGTGCTCACGCCGTCGTCTCCTCTCCAGCGGTTTGTTGCCGGCGTGGAGACGGTTGCTACACCGACACTCGTTGTTCCAGTCCTCGGCCAGATCCATACTGTCCTGTCGACTGTGTGCGTTCGCTGCCAGGAGGAGACGGGAAATCAGAGACGAGGTCACAGGGCAGGTCGAAGAGGAAGAGGGGAAGAGGGAGGTAGTGTGTTCAGGACTGGTGGGTGTGGGGATATGATGATCGCCGATCAGCGTCTGGGGTTCCAGGGTGCCCTAACGGATCAGTTTTAACTACATACTGAACCACATAGCGTTAGGTAGGACTGGAGTTCCAGGTAGGACTGGAGTTGGAACATAAGACTTCCCATGCACCAGATGCATTACGGTAGGATACATAACACAAAAGAGTTAGCCAAAGCGAGTGTTCATGCACAGACGGAGTAGGTATACATATATCGATCAATATACATTGAATCATTACCATTCGGAAATCATCAGCATAAAATGAATAAAATGCAGAGCAGCAGTTCATATCTAGGAATCAGGAACGGGGTAATCTAGCAGCACGCAGCACACCAAGCGGCATGCCGAGCGGAGCTGAAGCTGGAGCATCGAACCGCGTGCTAATGTGGTATGAAGCTGGATCATACGTATTTCATAATATGTACATTCTCTGTGTACATCGGCCGCCAGGCACAATGCAAAAATTGGCGGTAAGATTGTACACAAAGTAGTGTGGGTAAATCGTGACAGAAAACACAAACTAGCCTCACCGTGGCTCGGTGAAGCGCCTCAGACTGGTAGCCAGAACGGTAGCACTTGTCAGATGTGTCAGTGCGCTACATAGACTCGTCACCAACGGAAAGCAGTCACCGGAGACAGACCAATAGGAAGACTGATTTGACAAAATTGTGTACGATACTGGCTTCACTCACAAGACTTGACACACTGACACTTTTCACTATTTTGACCTCCCCATCGATTCTGAAGAGTAGAATCCCAAATGTTTGCAGTCCAACCGCGCTCGAAAACCCACCACCCTAGGGCGTCGTCCACTCACCACTGTAGTATTTCGAGTTGTGCGTCCACCGAAATCCTGTGCAAAGCCCGAAGTCGGTGAGCTTGATGTGTCCCTCGCGATCAATCAGGATGTTGTCCGGCTTGATGTCCCGGTGGATGAAACCCATCTTGTGCACGTACTCGAGCGCACACGTCAGCTCCGTGATGTAGAACCTGAACGGAAGAGGATATATTAGGGGACGACGTGGCGACATTGAGCGACAAAGGGGTTTTATCTACAGACTGCATGAGGTGCGGAAACGCCGGGGAAGACCGGCAGAAGACGAATAAGAATTGCGTCACTGCTAACGCTTCCCAGTCCATGATTTCTCAAAAATGATAACAATTACCAGTATTGAGCTGTGATCAAGGATGATCAGAGCAATGAAACAAATGCAATATGTAACAAGGGTAATTACAAGTAACTGAAGAAAAATGTAACATCTCTTCTGCCCAATCATTGCAAACAAAAACAATTATCCTAAAGCAAGAAACACAAACAAAAAAGCTGGTCTATTATAAATTACAAGCAAAAAACAAGAGCCTGATAACGATAATAAGCACATTTGCTCTAAGTGAAAGCAGCACATCACCGAACCACATTCCCTTGACTCTCGTTCCCCGCAACTCCGCGACTCCTGCCGCAGCTGTCGCCTGTTACCCACCTTGCGAGCGACTCCTCGAAGATGCCGAACTTGATGAGGAGCGACATCAGGTCCCCACCGGGAATGTAGTCCATCACAAAGTACAGGCTGTCCTTGTCCTGCGGAACACGTAAACATGGCCAGCGGTCACTAACGGTGTACGTTACAACTTCAAAACACTCTGAAAACAACAGAAGTTGACAAACCAACTGTTACCAGAATACAAAGGTGACAATTAAAACGTGGAGAGACCACCGAGAAGTAACGTAAAACGAACAATTTAACTTACATACAGAAACAAAATGGCAGTGGTACACTCCGAACACAGTTAGATGAAAATCAGATCACGAGGATTACGTTGATAATCTGATTGGGTTTGTGCGGAAGTGTATATTCTGTGGCGCCAGCAGGGCGCACAGGAAGCTGACTTCCACCTCATTTATTTGGCACACTTAACCGGGGACCTGCCGAGGTCATGGGAGGTCCCCTATTCTAAGTGTGCTGCCAACGAGTCCGGCTAATAGCATTTGAAATCACCGCTAAAGAGAACCAGCATGCGAATTATGAGCAGAAATACACTGTCAACCCAAAGCAGCCACCGAGGGCAAAGGTTCCAGCAAAACCAACTAGAACTCAGCACCCAGTTTGCTATGATATTCAACACACCTCCCCCTGCCCCACCATCACTCCACTTACCCTAACACCCTACCATCCTAACCTCCACAGCCACATCTACTCCCACTCGCCCCTCGCAGACCGCACAGCGCGACACTCACCTGGAACGAATAGAAGAGTCGTACCACCCACTCGTTCTCCGCCTCGGCCAGGATGTCGCGCTCCGCCTTCACGTGCGCCACTTGGTTCCGCTTGAGCACATCATTCTTCCGCAAAGTCTTCATGGCGTACAGGTGGTTGGTGTCGATCTTACGCACGAGCGTCACCTCGCCAAACGCGCCCACACCAATCACCTTCACCTTCTTGAACATGCGCTTGTTCATCTTGGCCCTCTTCAGCCGAATGAAGTTGGACTCCTTCTGGTAGAGCATCCGCCGAATCTGGTTCCGCGTCTGGTCGTTCATGTTGCTCTTGGACATTTCCGACTCGAGCTGGCGCCGCCTCTGCAGTCGCTGCTCGCACGACTTTTGCACATTCTCGACATGCTGCTCCATGAAGAATTTGAACGCCTGCGGAGAGTACAATTTCACCTTGCTGTCTCGCCGCTCCTCGTCCCTCTCGCGGCTGATTCGTTTCCGCTCGGGGATTGGCGACTGGTGGGTCATTTTGAAGTCGCCAGTCGCCTCTGCTGAGGGCGGAGGCGGCGGCGGCGGCGGCAGGCCGCGGCTGCTCGGTGCGCCGGAGCTGTAGCCCGTGTCCTCCGACATGACAAAGCTGACAGGACTCTGCGGGTGCGAGTCCTGCGAGCTCGGGCTGTCACAGCGCTCGGACAGCGGCGGCGGCGGCTTGCGCGGCAGCACTGCGGGCGGCCGCTGCGGCGGCAGGGGCGGCGGAGGAGGCGGACCCTCCTCCGGCTTGTCGTCGGCGTCGAGCGGCTGTGGGACCGGCAGGTCGCCCGTCATGATGGCGTTAGTGATGCTGGCCAGAGGTGTGTTGGAGATGTCCACCTCGCACAGCCCGCCGCCGCCGCCGGAGACGAGCGTCACGTCAGCCGCCTCTGCCAGTCCGCCGGGCGGCGGGGCCATCTTGGAGGCTGCTAGGGTCTGCTGATAGGTGGGCGGCTGGCCGGAGGGCGGCGGTCCGTCGGCCATCTGACGCTTCAGCTGCACACTCTCCGAGTAGGTGGGCGGCTGCAGAGGCGGCGGACTGGCCGCGTACGAGGGGAGCGCCGGCGCCACCGCCGTCTGCAGCACCGGCTTCTGCACGTGCGTCGACTTGACCGACTGCATGATGATAGGCGAGTGTGACTTGGCCTGGAAGGCGGGCAGCGCGTGCAGCACAGAGCCGCGCCCGCCGCCGGCTGACACGGGCGTCACGCTGCCCGACGAGCAGGACACGGGCGATATGCTCGGGCTCTGGCGCGTCTGCATGGAAGCCGTGTAGCTGGGTGGCGGCGGCGGCGGCGTGGCCAGCCGGCCGGCCACCGTCATGGGGTAGGGCGGCGGCGGCGGCGGCTCCAGACTGAGCGCCTGCATCTGCTGCGTCAGCTGCTGCTGCGCCGCCGGACCGTTGTGCACCACCATCGGCTGCCCGCGGCCGACGGGGCTGGCGCCGCGCGGCACGGCCGCCGCCGCCGCGCCCGACACGTTCACGTAGTTGGGCTGCTGGCTGCGCGGCGGCACGGAGACGGGTGACATGCGCCGCAGTCGCTGCTGTACCCGGTTCGGCAGCTGCGGGGAGGGCGGCGCCGGCGGCAGCGAGCGGGGCGGTGGCGGCGGCGGCGGCGGCTCGGCAGAGTAGCCGGCCGCCGTGGCGTACTGGAGTCGCGGCGGCAGCGCCGGGGCGCCGCACGGGCTCTCGGACCGCGTGCTGCCATTGCTGCTCTCCAGCGCCGGACTGCCGCGGCTGTAGGTAGAGCCATCGCCTCGCTCGAAACTGGAGTTGCGCGTCACACGACCACCTGCAACAGAGGACAGAGAGTCAGGGTAGGCAGGCGAAACAAAAACCGTTACGAACGCAGAATAATCGAGGTGGGATGGATAAGCCGATGATACACAGACAAATGCTAGTGACAAATTAACAGCACAAGTATAACACCAGCCAGCAACTGTTCCAACCCATCAAACACCCCACATTTCTCAATGACACACATGTTTGCATCCCATCAAACAAAAATAGCCTTCGGCCTGTATCTTTTGGCTCTCCTTCCACCAGGCCGCATCGTTCGCATACTTCGGAGCGACAGCATTGCGCAAAGCTCGCCGCATTCCTATACAGCTCTTGCCGTATCGCATCACATCTATCGCCTCGACGGAGCGCGAACTCGCGAGCGCTCGGCCCTGTGACGATAGCTCGGTGCACTCCTGACGGAGGACATCTGCGCCGAACAATCCGCGGGCCGGCGACCCAGCCGGCATGGCGTCGCTCGGTGGCGGTGACCCCTTGCCCCCTCCCCTCCCCCTGAGCAGGCAGAGGCGCGCCGCATGACACCCGACAGTGGGTCGGCCGGGCAGACAGGGCGGCGGCCCCAGGCACCGCGCCCAGCCGCCTCACAGAGCCGCGAGGGTAAACGGACGCTGCCGAGTGCCGAGGTAGCCCCAAAACGCGCAGCATCGCGACGTCGGACGGTACTGGAGAGAGGATAGAAGACAGGCGATTCACAGGGGACCGTGCTGACAAGATACTGGGATTCTCCCTTCTCCCCCAGCGGGCGGTGCCGGCAGTGGTACCGTGTTGCCGTTTCGGACCCTCCGACCCACCGGGCGCGGTCGGCGCCGCCCGTGCGCGATAGGCCGGAATTCAAGTAAATATTTGGAAGACATCCAGGCGGTATGTCAGCGCCGCGAGGAATTTCTTCGAGGTCAGCTGCGCGCCCCGCGCGAAAACAGACGTCGCGCCAGCCTGGCTGCCGCCGCCGGGTCGCCGCGGTACGGGGGGGGGGGGTGACACCGAGGGGGCAGCTGTCACTGGCGGGGAAGACACAAGCCAGGCCGGAATTCCAACCGCCAGACAAGGGTCGCGAGAGCGGTCACCCGTCATACCACGACGCAATCCCGTAGTATACAGCAGGCCAGGGTACAGCCAGGCGCGCCCCTCATACCCGAAATCACAGCCGCCGCATGCCACGAGTTACAAACATTCGAAACCGTCTGCACATTCCGTGTGATTCTGCTAAGGAACGCAGAAGAGGCCAGTGCGCAGCTCCCACCCAACCCTGAGTCTTGCGATACATCACTGCGACGTTGATCCCTCTGTCTGTCTTTGGTCTCCTGGTCACAAAGTCTGCCTATCAACTGATTAACAGACGGGCTCACGGACGGAGGCCGGTCTTACCTGTGCTGACGGGCGGACTGGGCGCTCCTCGGGAGCGAGGTGGTCCGGCAGCTCCGATCGCTCCAATCAGCTCGTCCAGATTCCGTGCTCCCGTCAGACTCAGCACCTGGCGCTGGAAAAGAACGGCAGCTCAGGTCAGGGCAGGTCACAGAGAGAACACAGCACTCCGGTCATAGGTCAGCTGATCAAGGGACAAGGGTCGGGTCAACACAGTCTTGCCACGTTACGGGTCAACACAGGTCAGGGTCAAATCACAGGAGACACATCATAATGCTGTCGTAACACGTCAGTTCAATACAGTTGGGTCAGCACAGGTCAAAGCCAGGTCACAACGGGTCGGCTGACGACAGGTTCGCTCAGCCTGGGTCAAAGGTAGCTAGGGATACAAAACGAGCGGTCACAGGCACAGGCGCACGGACCACATCGACACTGGATGACAGAACCCACTCCTGCGGCAGGATGTTGCCCTTGTGACTAACGGGGCCCACCACCGGCAGAGATCTTGCATTATATTACATAACTCAGCAACACATACAACAACACATAATGACGTCACACAAACATATGGTTCGGTCACGTCACAATATGCCTAATGCAAAAAGGAGGTAGACGAACAAAAACACTTTGAGTATTTAATATTGTGCTCCAGTGAAGGAGCCACGTTATACCACACACCAGTTATCTGCATGGGTAAACCATACAAATGAGGATTTGATGGGAACATCCTGACACGAGCTTATCCGAATACATTCCAACCGAAAACCAGTCAGCATTATAAAAAACACACACGCTTGAATCTTCTGAGCATTTGAATTCACGGGTTTATGAGGAAGAGCAATATCATTTCATCCAGCGGCGGGCCCATCTGGCCAGTGCCAACCCAGCACGCAACGTGGGGCCGTTTTCACCGTCACGCGAGCTCCGCCAGCTCCGACGGAGGGCGCCGGTAGACGGAACGGGAGGAGAGAGAGACGTCTGCCGCGGGGGTGGGCGCGGGGCCAGCGCCGACCGAGGCCTGCCTGCCGAGCGGACAGCTACACAAACATAGGCCGCCCCGCCAGCCGCATTCCACGGCACCGGCACAGTGCTGAGCCGCCGCCACACACACATACACACGGCACGGGGACGGGGATAGGAGATATAGGGCCGCAGCTGACACACATACACACGGCACGGGGACGGGGATAGGAGATATACGCTGAGTCGCTACCACACACACATACACACGGCACGGGGACTGGGATAGGGGATATAGGGCTGCCGCCGCCACACACACATACACATACACACGGGACGGGGACTGGGATAGGGGATATAGGGCCGAGTAGCCGCCACACACAGATACAAAGAGCACAGAGACTGGGATAGCACGGGTAATGGTCATGGGATATACGGCTGCAGCCACACACATGCATGGGACCGGGATAGCTTAAAGGGGACACACGGCCACTGCTGCCACATGCATTGGTACACATAGTTAGACAGGGACGGGGATAGCACGGCTGGGGACCAGTGCACTCGGTAGTGTTTCAAGGAGGAACCCGTAGATTGAGACAGAGACACCCGCGAACAGTTGAACAAAGTTCGCGTGCAGATGAATAGAATACGCCACAAAGAGAGCACATCGCATCAACAAAGACGCACAAAACGAGAAATGACAGTTTTAACACGAATAAAGAGACAAAGGGCTTGATAAAATACGCCTCGAAAAGCACAAAACACAGGAAGAGCATTGATCACAGCAACTGATAGGGAGCCAGGGATACATTCCTCGACAACGGCTTAATAGCACAAAATTCGATCCGGGGCCTAACGAAACCCGTGCGTGTGTTGTGGGAAGCGGGAGGGCGAGGGGGGGGGCACGCAACGTTCCGCACGCGACATCATTCACGACGCACAAAGAAACGACGGCGGTAGGTACGGGATGAAGAGGGGAGCAGAAGCGCACATAGACCGTGTGGTGGGGCAGGACAGAGGAAAGAACAGAGGCAAGTGAAATACACTCACAGGAAGAAGGTAGTCAGTCGACGGAAGCAGTAGTGGCGGAACACCTTCAATTTGGGGAGGGGGGGGGGGGCACTGCCGCCCCCGGTGCCCTCCCCGTTCCGCCGCCTATTGACGGAAGTGATACTTTGTTTCGATCCTTTCTGAGCGTTCCTTGTTCATTTGAAACCTGCTTCTTATCATTGATTGCAGAGGTTCATACCTGATCTGCGACAATACATCGAAGCTGGCTAATCAACAGCAAAATACAGCGCGATGACTGACAGAGCAGGCGTAAATACCTACTACAAATAGCTGTATGACACATCCCAACCATTGTACTCCGACATCATTCGCAGCGCGTCGCCAGGCCATCCAGAGAAGAAAGGTAAACATCGAGGGTCGACAATGACTAATTCCAAATTTATTCAGCAATGCCAACAATGCACACGTAGAGCTAGGGTTTATGTGCTCTGACTCAAAGCACATAAACGTGGGGGCAATGTCCCGGCGTCTTGCAGTGGGTAAAATGTACCCATTGAACTGGGCTTAAATATGACAGAGTTAGCAACGCCAGAGAGACAGAGTTTTGGAACGCCAGAGAGTTTCAGAAGTGATGGTTCAAGCTGTCCCTTCAAAAGCAAACTTCTTAACTGACAGCTAGCTTGACCACACATGACTTCCGCTCACTTCGATTATCAATGACATGCCAAACGATAAATATTCCATAGTCCCATATAGCGTCAATAAAATAAGAGTGATAGTTGACTCTACATGGAGTTGTTCCAGCTGACCAACATTGTTCAGTCCGCGTCAATCGAGTCACTTCCTGGCTTCTCTACTCTACCCGGGCCATCGTCGGTCCATTAGACCGGAGCAGCGCGACTCCCTTCCCAGTTCCCACCTAATTACGTCCGCCAGTGCGGCACAGCCGCCTGGTAACAGCACACCCCGACCACCACTGGGAACAAAGAGCCGCTCTTCCGGCCACCTCCAGACGGACCGCGATATCCGCCGGTGGCCAGTGACGCGCCGCAGCGCCGACAAACGCCCCGCGAGAGCACCGCCCAACGCAGCCGTCCCGGCTCGGTTCATATTCTGAGCCCGTCTATTCATCTCGGCATCCCGCCCGCAGCGGCGGCCCGGCGCTCGGCCGGCGACGAGCGCCTGGAATGCGGCGCGCCTCTCACGCATGCCGGCCCGGCCGGTACGTCGGCGCTGCAGCCGCGTCATTAGTTCCGATCCAGATGCGGGCGGCCTTGAGCGCCGGCCGATTCCGGCGGCTCGCTCAAGCGCGCGTGCCGCCCTCCCAACGGACGTCCGTCGACCGACCGTTGGGAAGCAGAGCGTCGACAAAGCGGGACGGGCGGCGCAGCTGCCGGCCGTCGCCGCCAACCAACACATTCTGCGCATTCCAGAGTCCGTCGGCCGTTCGAACGGCGCGGCGGCACCGGCGAGCAGGGCCCTGCGCCGGACGCCTGAGACGACCGCATACCTCGGACGGCCGTCGGCCCGCCTGGGGGCAGGTCGGACGCGAGAGGCGCCTGCGCAGGCCGCGCCCCGGCCCGCGCCGCCCTGCAATATGATACACTGCAGCAAAATCGGCAGGGGCAAACCGCGCCCCGGGTCCGTCTACCCGAAAGCTTTCCAGATTTCTGGCTCTCCGCTTAGGCGAATCTGAAGCGCCTGACCTGATAGCTGATCTGAATGAGCCATCAGCTGCGAGCTCAGAACCCACTAGCTCCCCCACCCGTCCTGCGTGTCTCCTACACCGACTCACGCGCTGTGTCAGCCTATCCAGCTCACCGCTCCGGCCAGCATCTTTGTGAGGCTTCCCGGCGCACCACGAGCGGCCCAGTTCCCAGTGGAGCCGCAGGAATGCGGCCGGCCGATGACGTCACCGGCGGCATCAGGCGGCGAGACAAAGGCGGCCGGGCAGCGCGGCCACGCACGCCCCGCGGGCACCGCGCGGCGCGGCTCCCAGCCTGCCTGCCCGTCTCCGGCTCTGATGGTCCGTCTACTGGTCTGACATGAGGCCGAGTCGGCGCACGGCCCGCGGGTAGGTCAGCGCGTGCGGAGGCCGCGCTATGCGTGAGGCCGCTAACGGTGTCACTGCCCGACCGGCATGTCTGGAATGCCGCCCGACGCTTTACGCCGCTTCAGAAATAGCCGCCGCTCGGCCGCGGTCGGCGCGGCGCCGGCCCGACTGGGGCGGGCCACGCACTCGGCGGGGCGCCGGCCGGCCGCCGGCACACCAGTACCACGTGCCACAAGGCCGCTGCTCGCCGCGGGCGGTCATTACGGCACGAGGGCCGGCCGGCCGAGCGGTGCGGCGCCGCGGCGCCCAGTGGTAGCCCTCCCACCGCCAGCGTACTACTGCCGGACGGCCGCGCCCGGCGAAAGGCGCAGTGCCGCCGGCCGCCGGCGCACGGAGCCCGCTGACGCCGTCAGCTCAGACCCGGCCGTATGCTCATCACATGGTCGAGCTGACGGGCCCGGCTGTGCCGAGAGGAGTGCGGCGGGGGCGGCGGCCGACTGCGTGTCACTTTCACTGGGCCCGGCCGCCGCCCGCCCGCCGCCAGCAGTCCACACTTTCACACACGTCGGGGAGGGCGGCAGACAGCCGCCGGGAGGTGGCAGCGGCGGACAGAGGCTCCCGCACGGGCTGCTGCAGCCCTCCACCAGCCGAGCGGCTCCAGACCCAGCCACGGGCCTCCACCGCGCCGGGACGGCCCACCAGCCCCCGATACCGGCGCCATTCCAGCTTGATGCGCCGGATGCCCGCGCCGGTGGTGAAACGAAATGGCCAGGAAAATAATCCCCCTCCGCGCCGCCCGACGAAGCCCCAGCTCAAGCCAAGACCTTGAACAGACCATTCGCGAGATTCCTGTTACGGCGAGATGCCAGCGTCTCGGTCCGTTTCGAAAGAATGCCCTTATCCATCTGTCGGTTGGGACGTGTTTAGAAATTATATCACGATTACCGCGCCCACCCGCCGACATACCAGGAAACGATAGCGCAAATAAACACGGCGCACAGCCGCCGCCACTCGACGAAATTCCAATCACCTGCGCCAGATAATGCGCCGCCCATCTGCCAAGGACAGATCGGCGCCCGATGCGGCGCCACTCATCCCCGGCCGGTCGTCATTCGTACGCGGGCCGCAGACTACACGAGCGGGGTCCATTTCACATGCGCGGCGCGGGTTCCCCGGCCAGACCACCGGCCCCCACCGCCGCAGCACGCTCCCTTCTGAGAACGGCCGCCGTGCTCTCCAAGTCGCCACGGCGTGGCGCGGCACGCGAGCTCCCCGGTGCCGAGCCGCAGCAGCAGCCGCAGCAGCTGCCGGAGACGCGACCCAGCTGACACCCGTCCCGGCCGCCGCCTCTGGAATGTGGGGGGACGGGCGGCGCGCGGAGAGGGGCGCCAGCCAGCTGCCAGTGACGCGGGGTGCGAAGCGCAGTCGGCTCGGCCGGCGGCTGCCAGCGCGACGTTACTGAGCGGCTAACACACGGTGCCAGGGGACAGACGAACGAGCGGCGCGGCGCTGTCAGCAGCGCGGCCGCGCCGCGACATAAACACGGCACGCGCAATAACACAGCCGCCCCGCGCCCGACCGAGACACGCCCGCGGAGACGCGGGGTGAGGCACCGACCGACAGAGAGTGGAGCGGGGACAGAAAGGGAGACGGCCGGCCCGCATCGGAGGCATTATCTGCTGCCGTCGGCAGGTGGACCGACGGCCAGCCGCCGCTGCACCGGTTCGGCAGCTGGCGCCGCCGCATACCGGCGCGCCGGCACGCACCGGCCGCGTCACGTGACCGCTGGGCCCACTCACGGCCGGCGGTCACGTGACCGGCCGTCATTCAGCCGCGGCCGGCCGGCTGGTCTCGCTCGCCGGGCTGGCGCGTACGAAGGACACCAAGTCGCCTTCTCCCAGCCAGCAAACGGCGCCCCTCCCCTACATCAGACACCAGCTGCTAAATAACGAGCACCCCCAGGAAAGAACCACTAAAACACCAGATTTCCGCCACCCCGTATCAGGTGACCTCGCATTCCCAGCTGAAGATAGACAGCTGCACTTTAAACGCTATCATCTGCCCCTCTGCTCGCCTCACCCCCTCCTGCTAGATGGCCCTGTTTGCTTCATCCGTGGCTCGTGCAATGTAGCCACGGCCTTGCACCACCCGCTCGGTCAGTCGTCCCTTCAATCATTCATTCTTTCGTCGTTCGTTCGTTCGTTCGTTCGTTCGTTCGTTCGTTCGTTCGTTCGTTCGTTCGTTCGTTCGTTCGTTCGTTCGTTCGTTCGTCCATTCAATCATTCATTCGTTCACTGCCTAAGAGCTGGTCAACTTCGTCCGACAGTCCATTCAAACACCGTCGTAACTTATAGCCGTTGTGACCAGTTGGAATGGTTCAGGAATCAGGATGGCAAACGGCGTCAAAACAGGCAACAGTCCATCTCAAGGATTGTGCATACGCAGACACCGTACGCATGGTAGATGCTCCGCAATGCAGTTTGTAGATGGTTCCGCATGTTGATCCGTGAATCTATCCGGATGCGTGCAAAATAGGTGGATAGCATGAGAGACCGATGACGCACGAATGATCACAAATCGACGCTTATAGCCAACATGGATAAGATACGGCACTGTCCCTTTATAACACCGACAGACGGTCTCTCCTGAAAATCCTAAAATCATGCACAAGCCTAAGCTTTTGACAGGAACTGATAATCGTCCGTCAAAATCCGCGTCTTGACCTTTCCAAAATAACTTACACGCCGGTAGGTCAGCAATCACCACAGGGCAACTGGAAACTTTGCCAGTCGGTGCAACTGGAGCAGGGTACGTAGTCCGGTTTGTGTACGAAAATTACATCACTGGTCTCGACGAAGCCAACAGCCTCGCTGTGTAACTCTACACTGACTGGATGACCGCTGAGTGGCTGACTCTGTCTTTTCAGCCGGGTGACTTTTAGCAGGCGGTTTGGAATGGCTGGAAGTCGCCAGTCAGCGACCAAGATAACACTTTGATCACGGCAGCCGCTGGCACCAGCGAAGGAGCTATTGGACCACCAACAACCAATAACCAACCTACGAGAGGATGGAACCAGCCAAAGGAACAATTCTGAATCACTGAACTCAGTTCATTCACGCGCGCCGCTCAAGTTTCCGTTCGGGCAGCAGGTCACGCACGCTCCCCGCCGCCACGGTTGCCTCATCGGAAACTCTTCCTTTTCTAGCTCTCGGGTGGGTGTTGAAACCGGGCCGGGCAGCGGGTCACTCGGCACGCTGCCACAGTGGCGACCAGCCGTCTGCAAGGGCCCGTCGCACGCCCCTTCTCGCTACATGCCAGTGGTGGGGCGGCGGCTGCGCGCGGTTCGCGGAAGCGCTGGCCGTCAGTGCGCAGCCGGTCAGTCGGCCGGCCTGCCCGCCACCCCAGCTGGCCGTCCAGTCCGGCATATCGACGCCGCCATCAGATCTCGGCAGTCGCAGGACGCTGTCGCGACCGGATCGGACTAGACCGAACCGGCCGCCCGACAACTGGCTTTTCGCTTTCGATTCTGCATCGCGTCAAACGGTTCCGGTCGCGGCCGAGCGGCTTGTGGCCGCATTATCGCTCGGGTAAAATCCCTCTCGTGGGAGACAGAAGAGTAGACGACTCAAACACGCGTTTGTCGACCCGGAAACGGGTTCTACGAACATCAATGGCAGGATGTGTATCGGTGGGTCATCGGACAAGTTGGATGCAAGTGGCGGCATATGTGAAACGAATTCGTAAGGCTAGCATCAAACTAAGCATCTGTTTCTGGATGCCAGCTCACTATATCGAAATGATTGAGGTATTGGTTTTATTGCCTTAGGTCTGGTGACATATTGCGCTATACAAAATCATGCTGATAATTTTACAAAGTATTGATGCATACAAGTAGGTAAGCATCCGGTAACTGATGCAACAGTGCCAGTGTCTGAACTGAACTGTCAGTGACTGAACTGCGGCAAAAGAGTGTGGACTGTGGCTGTGACTGTGACTGCCCCTATGACTGCCCCTGTGACTGTGACTGCCCCAGTGACTGACCTCATCGTGTCCGAGCTGAGTCAGCTGGTGCAGCAGCTCCTGGCGACTGACGGCCGGCCGGCCGCCGATCCCGTCGCCACAGGCGAACGGCCGCAGCGAGCGCCGAATCTCCCGCAGCGCCTTGTCGTTGTAGTTGGAGCGTTTGGCGCGCGGGTCGCCGGGCGGCAGCGGCGCCGCCGGCCGCGGCTCGGCGCCCGGCTCCGGCTCGGGTGCTGGTGCCGGCCGCCGGCCCGCCGCCCGGCCGCCCCCGCCCACAGCCACGCCTTTGGGCTGCAACAGAGCGGCCAGAGGTCAGCCGTGGGGCACGCGGTCACGGAAGGGGACAATATCCGCTCCAATCGGCCATCTCCGGCGAGCTCCAGGGCTGCGGCCACCCGCTGCCGGCGCAGCCACCGAACGGGCCCAGAGGAGCCGACACAGCTACCTAAGGCGCGGCGCGGCTCTACATGTTCAGACAACCCGCCGACAAGCAGTCGCATTCCGCCGCGATCAGGCCAGCTCTTATCTAAACTGGCCTTCAAACACGTGCCTGAAACCAGATACGGCGCACGTCCTCCCCATTCACCCTCGTTCGGCTCCCTCCTTCTGACCGATTTTCTACGCATCGGCACACTTGCTACCTACAAACTGATAGGTAACATAGCACAGTAATCGAACGATAGCCTCTCATAAGCAATCAGGCAGAAAACGAGCAAACGGCATAGCACGGCAATTGAACGATAACATCTCATAAGGAATCAGGCAGACAGCAAACAACTGACAATTACTGACCATGAAAGCAGTGACCGCAACATCAGGCATGTTACATCAGGCATGTTACACCCTTCGCCATCCCTCCCATTTCCTATCTCGCCTAACTAAGATATATCCTGATATATCATATATCCTAACTAAGATATCCTTCTGTACCGACAAGCACAAAAAAAAAAACGCGGCAAAAGTTGCCACAACTACTCGAGGGCAGCGCTTTTCGAGCAGGCTGCGGCCCGAAGGTTGGGACTTTGATTGTGAAAAAACGCCCGCCCGCCGCAAAACACAAACACCGCAAAACGCGCAAAACACACGCCGGAAACGCCAACGCAAATGTCGCAAGAAGAAAAAAAAACACAAATAAATGCCCGCCCGCCGCAAACCGCAAAAAAACGCAAAAACGCCGCAAAAAAATAAAACCGCCCGCATCGCACGCACGCTAACCGCTAACCAAAAACGCCTAAAAAGCGCCCAACCGCCGCCAATCGCCTACAAATTGAACACCACAAACGACGCAAAAAAGAAAACCGCCCGCATCGCCCGCCGCCAAACACAAAACGCCCACCCGCCCGCCGCAAAACGCAAACAGCACAAAACGCGCAAAACGCACGTCCGAAACGCCAGACCAAACGTCGAAAAAATCGCACGACCACCACAAACCGCAAAAAACGCAAAACCGCCGCAGAAAATAAACCGCCCGCATCGCACGCACGCTAAACACCAACCGAAAACGCCTAAAAAATCGCCCGCCCGCTGCCAAACGCAAACACCGCCAAAAGCGCCAGGCCACCGGAAACCGAAAAAAAAAAATTAACACCGAAAAAGACGCAAAAAACGCCCGCATCGCCCGTCCGCCCGCCGTCAAACAAACACCGCAAAAAAAAAACACAAAACACCCGCCCGCCGCAAAACGCAAACACCGCAAAACGCGCAAATCGCACGCCCGAAACGCTAACGCAAGTAAGACCAAAGTGGCGCGAGACGTTACATGCATACCTCACAGTTATTTATTAATGCATGAAAATGATGAGATTCTTTAGTTTTCGCCACTTTAGGCAGTTAATGGCGCACTTAAGACAAAAATGGCGCACAACAGCCTATTTTTGTCTCGCTTCATAGGTATGTGTCGCTGCCTAGTTTTGTGCACTACCTTTGCAAGTTTCGACGAAATCGGCCCGTCGAAATAAATACGCGTAATATTCCTCGACTTTAGCCACTGTAGCTAAAGTGGCGCACTAGAGACAAAAACGACGCACATGAGTTTGTTGTATTCGTAGAGCCGTTTGTGGCACAGGTCATTTTAATACATCAATGTTGCAATTTTCGTCGAAATCGGCCCATAAATGGCAAAGTTATGGCCAAAACGCCTTACATTGAGAGTGCACGTGGTCACTCGAGGTGGGGTGCCACGTGCCACGTGTGGCCTAAATACATAAAGCGACCATCCTTTTGTACCAGATGAAAGGGGTCGTCAGTGCCCATGGGTAGACTTTCGGGTGCGCCACCATTGTCTCCCAGCGGCCGATCAAACTTGGCCAATCTTTAAATTAGGGCTTACCTCACTATCGGTCACAATATCTCCGGAATGGAGAACCCCGGGCGGCCACGTGTTTGACACCTAGTAGACCCAACACCAATGGTCATTATCGCAACCGACTTGGAACTGTGGCTGAAACCCATGCAGTGAGGTTATCACCTGAGCATAATTATGCACCAATGACTACCTATCCCAAAATGCTACACCACGTGATGAGGTGTACAACTATCCTAGAGCATCCCCTTGAAGACTGACCTCGATTGGTTCCGCTGGCATGCATTGTTTGCGCGGCACAGGCCATCATACCAGCAGTGGTCAAATTTTCACGGAGGTGGTCCCCTCAAACAAGTGCGGGGCGTGCACGTGCATTTCAATCGCCCCATATATAGCCTATGCCACCTGGTAGGCGACATGTGGGTGCATATCATACTGAAACATTTTTAACATCTAACGTGGAAATTTTGAGCAAAATCGATTTAAGTAATTTTTTCAAGAAATCCCATTGACTTAAGACGTGAAAATTTGTGCGCGTGCCACGTGCAAAAAAGTTAATTATATTTCAAGCGATTGACATTGACGAACGAACCTCCTGACCGACTACCGGTACTCAAAAAACAAAGAAAATCTATCGAGCCGATTTTGAGCAAATTGAGAAAACCCGTTTTGGCCCATTTCGTAACGTTAAACCAATGGCGGCTGCACGTGCAATTTGCACCCCCTTCCCGAAGCTGCCCGAAACGGCGCCGCCGGCTCATGGTAGATGCTGGGGCGGCCACCCAGCACATAAAAGCCCATCGCAATACAAGCACCCGTCTGCGAGAAATGCGATGCCGAAAATCCACCTAATGTTGAAGCCTATGGGCCTAAAACACGTGCACGTGCCACGTGCAAGAAAAATAATTATATTCTTAGCTGAGGGTGTTTCGTGGTAGATAATCTGTGGGGGCAGCTGCCCTGAAAATTTAATCAAAATCTATCGGTTCGTGTGCAAACGGTGCAAGGTGCCCCAATTCGCTGCACCAAACACGAATCCTATCCCGAAATGGAAACACCTTCAGTTTGTTTTTCAATAGAAAAACACAATTCTAAAGAATAGTGTTTGTCTAATGAAGAAACAACCTTCGGGTACGGCAGCGACGGTATAGGCCCGGGCAGCGCTTGTCGAACAGCACTGCGGATCCGAAGGTTGGGACTTTAATTGTGAAAAACCGCCCGCCCGCCGCCAAACGCAAACACCGCAAAACGCGCAAAACGCACTCCTGAAACGCCAACGCAAACTTCGCAAAAAACAATCGCCCGCCCGCCGAAAACCGCAAAAAACGCACAAAATGCCGCAAGAAACGCGCGTCCGCCGCAAAACGCAAACACCGCAAAAACGCAAACACCGCCGCCGCAAAAAAACGCCCGCATCGCCCGCCGACAACCGCGAAACGCCGCAAAAACGGCCGCCCGCCGCAAACCGCTAAACGCCGCAAAAAAAACGACCGCCCGCTGCCCGCCGCTAACCGCAAATAACGGCCGACCGCCGGCAACCACAAAACGCCGTAAAAAACGGCCGCCCGCCGCAAACCACAAAACACCGCAAAAAACTGCCGCCCGCCGCAAACCGCAAAACGCCGCAAAAAACGGCCGCCTGCCGCAAACCGCCGCTAAAACGGCCGCCCGCCGCCAAACGCAAACAGCAAAAACACCCGCATCGCCCTCCCGCCCGCCGCCAAACACAAAAACCGCAAAAACGCAAACACCGCCGTAAAAAAAACGCCCGCAACGCACGCACGCCCGCCGCCAACCGCAAAACGCCGCAAAAAACGGCCGCCCGCCGCCAAACGCAAACACCGCCAAAAACGCAAAAACGGCCGCCCGCCGCCAAACGCAAACACCGAAAAAAACGCAAACACCGCCGCAAAAAAACGCCCGCCGTAGGCAAAACGCAAACACTGACGCATTAAGACAAATATGGCACCCTGCGGCAAATGTGGTGCATTCATATCTGCTGTTTAAGCAGCCATCCCTTAATTACAGCGCATCCTAATCGTCCAATGTTCGACAAAGTTACGCACATTCTGCGCTTTTCGGCAAAAATGGCGCTTTGAGACAAACGTGGCGCACTGCAACAAACATGGCGCATTCGTTCATGTCGCTTAACAATTCATCCACCCACCAAATTCTAGCCTAATCGGACTTAAACTGAAGAAGTTATGTACATTTGAATATTTCACTATAAAATATCTCCGCAACGGAGGTGCCCAGATTTGCACGTGTGCCACGTGACCACCGGTGGTGCAAGTAGGACTTGTCCCCTCACTGATTGCACCATTTTAGTGTTCCTGGATTGTGCTGTTTTCGTGCTATAAGGCCACAAATCGGCAAACACACGATAATCTGGGAGGTACGCGACTCAATCACGTGGCCACGTGGCACGTGCCGGACCTCTGATAGCTTCACCGTTCACGCCACGTGATGACCCATCGACGTGGCCATCAGCATGTAAAAGATGACCCCGGCCGGTGTCACCGTCTCTGAACAGTGGACGGCTAAACTCGAAAAACGGGAAATTTTAGGGAAATTTCACCTTTCGAATATATAATTTCCCCAGAATTTTAAATTTTTCATTTCACAAAAAAAACCGAGATAGCAGTTGTTTAGCCCCCTTCATTCTGTGCCTATACCCGTTTTCAGATCGACCCTATAATAAAAACTGACTGTCTGAAGGCCATTTCCCCCATTCCTTGCATTTCAAAATGCTAGTATATTTAAGCACCAAAATTGACCCCGTGCCACGGCACGTGCAATAGCACGTGCGCCACGTGACCACTGGTGCGACAAGCTGGACTCATCTGCTCACCGGCTGCACTTATTTGGTGTCACTAGGTGGAGTGGTTTTTGAGCCATAGGACCCCCAGTTGGTCAATGTCGGATTTTCCCGGAGGTTACCCCATCAAACACGTTTGCACGTGGCACGTGCTTTTCAATCGCCCCATATCTGACCCATACCATGTGGTAGCCGACACCCCGGGGCACAACATATTGAAACATTTTCAAAATCTAACGTGGAAATTTTTTGCAAAATCGATTTGAAAATAATTTTTCGAAATCGCCATAGGCTTAGCATGGGGTAACTGTCCGTCCCGATTACCCGAAATTTTGTCATTTATATTTTAAATAATTACCACCATAAGGTGGGGTCCCGGCCCGAGATTCGACCCTAAAAATATAATCCATTTCTAACGTGGAGTTTTTCCGCAAATCGCATTTTAAATTTTTCCCCATGTTAACCCTATGGGAAAATGCACGTGCAGATTACCCCAAAACGTGTCAATTATATTTTTTGCAACTTTGCCAGAAGGTAGCTCCCCGATACGGGACCAAACGCTGAAAATGGCAACAAATTCTACCGTGCCGTTTCGGCGGCGATCAAAATGACCCAATTTCCGACAGAAACGCAAATGTCCCCCTAGAGAGGTAGCTCAGGTTGGGATTTTCAATAGAAAATCACAATTCTAAAGAATAGTGATTGTTCTTAATTGAAAAGTCCCAACCTTCGGATACGTTCGGGGCTGCGTAGAGAGCCCGTGAGCCCTCACTTCCCAGTCACTATCCTCCACAAAGTTAGCACGTGCGTGTGCTCGCCCCAGCTCGCCCGCCGTCGTTAGTAGTCTCACCTGTAGCGGGGGCGGCGGAGGGTCGGCGCCGTCCGCGCCGAGCTCCCCTCCGCCTCCGATGGGCACCGGCACCGGGTAGGGCGACAGATCACCGTCCTTCTGGCCGCTCATCTGCGTGCAGCATCACACATCTCTCACATCGCCCAGCGGCCCGCGCTCCGACTGGACGGCGCTGCCCGGGGCGGCGGTGGCGGCGGTGGCGGCGGCGACCTGCGGGAGGCCGGCGGCGCGGGGCGTCAGAGGAGGGGCGGGGTAACGGAGAGCAAAGGCGAACGGGAGGACCGACATTAGACATGGCTATGTCGCGGAACGAGAATTGAAATGTCGCAGTGCCACGACAATGAGGGGCTAAAAAAGCCTTATACGAATATTCAACGCCGACCGGTGACCCGTCTACGATCTGTCTACGAAAAGGTCAAGCTTTTCTATCGAAGCCAATGACCGAGAAAATCTAGCAAGATCCATTGAAAACAACCCTTCCTAACCTACGCATTGGCGGGAGATGAGCAAGTGGCCAGAACCACTATTAGCTCCGACTCAGGAGTAGGAGTGGGTAAGAATTTGGCGATTACGACTCGACTCCGGGCAAAACCGTCGACACCGACAGGCTACGACTCCGAAGTCCGCAGCCCAAAGAAGCTTTTTTTGTGGAAAAAAGGACACCTGCTACACACTTTCCACGCATGTCATTATTTTATCAGCACAATTTCACGCCCCCCAGCACGACAGGGAAAAGTCAGATCACCAGCACAGCGCGGGTTAGAACACAAATTCCACACATTTACCAAGCAAGAGTTGTAATAAAATATTTTAGCAGTATGAGCTAAGAAATGCATGGTCCTATGCCAAAGCTGACAAAACTTATGTGAGAGCTTCAATAATGAACATGGAGCCAAAACGGTTTTGATAAAACTAACTAGTATTTATTCATGTGATAAGCATGAAGCAAAATGAAACATACTACAGCCTCTGTAGGTAAATGTAGGTAGCTATTTCAATCACATTTTGCAAGGATAGCTCAGGGTAAAATATGTTGTATTTTTTAAGGAAGAAGAAATTACGCTAAAATAAATAAAAGTGAGAAGAGTGACTGGGTGTTCTTTAGCAACCACTTATCCCACAAATCACGATACTTACCTACAAAATATGACAATCAGTTTAGCAAAATATTTCAAAGCTCAGAAAATCTCATTTTCCTTCCATTTTGATCACAAACTGATTTTTTCCTTCTCATTGGCAAAATTTATTAGGTCTGTACAGCTCACAATTGACAAACAAAACAAGCCACTAATGAGCTTAGAAATTTGGAAATCCAACAGCATGCACAGGTACCTAGGTACTTCGATATACGTTTTTTCGGCTACTAGTCGTTTATTTGTTGCCATGTTTCTTGACGACGGTTTCGATGCGAAGGTCGAAAATTCGAAACGAAAACAATAAACGGCTAGTAGCTGAAGAACGTACCTATATTGAATTACAATGTCTAGTCGTAAAAGCTTGAAATCATACCTAGGTACTGACAGCAAAGACTTTGGCTTTGTGTGGGATACCTTTCACTTCATCCCACCAGCAGAATATTTGGAAAGATCTGCTTTATAGCAGGAGATAAGCTAACACCCATCTACTGGTAGAATGAACACAATGTTCCTAAAAATCCACTCCACATCCAGAAGGGGGATATAAAAGGTGCTAAGATGATAGCTTCAAAGGAGCTTCAAGGAGGCAGGAGTAATCCAGTCTTCCAAATATGGCAATTTTGATGAAATCTCATCAGTGCAGACTTGTCCAGCTGGTGCAGATTTGGTGCAGTGCAGATTTGGTTTGCTGTGAACTGTGATGCAGATTGAATGTGGCGCCATGCAAATTTGGCCTGGTGTGGTGCAGATTTAGTGTAGTGCTGTGCAGATTTGGCTTCATGATGGACATGGCGGACCAGACAAGATAGATGAGGAAAATTGAAGAACACTGTTGGAGCTTCTACATATAATTCAGTGTGCCTTCTGGTCTAAAAGAGTGTGCGGTGGTCAGAACGGACTATGCCAGTGCTGGTGGTCCCATCAACCATGTGGGTCATCCCCTGGGGCCTGCTGTGACCCAGCCAGAGCCAGAGGCCAGTCGAAACCACTATCATGTAGGCTTCCTTGTCATAGCCTATTACATTTCCTGCAATTCAGTGAGTAAGTAAGTGAATAAATTACTTTGAGGTCAGTACTCAGTAATGATTTAGACTGGCCATTTTTGAGTTTGGTGTATTTATTACTCTCAGCCCCCTTTGTTGTGGATTTTCTGACTGTCTGAAGGGTTGGTATGGATTTTGAACTTGGGCTGATGTGCCTCATTGACCTACATGCCATACTTTGCAGTAGGTATGGGGAAAAGAGGGAACAACTTTTCAAACAGAATGAGTTGATATGGGCTTGGAGAAGATCAAAGGAGCAAAACAGAACATACATTTATTTATATAAAGGGATCTATGTAAAGAGAGTGAGTACAAGATTCTTCGTCATTAAAGGGACCCTCCCACCTTCAAAAAAGTTAATGAATTGGCATGAAAGTGATGTCGCTCGGTTCAGAAAGAGCAAAAACGAATATCTACCAAATTTCATCGATAAATATTCACCGGTTTTCAAGATATTAGACTTTTACTTTTGTTTACTTTTTGGGATCTCCGCTGTTCCTAGCGACTTTATTTGAAAGTGCGGCATTTGTTGCGCGCAAAGCAGCATATACCACCGCGTGCTACAAAACATTTTAGTCAAACATTTAACGGACGTTCGAAAGCCTGATGACGTCATCAGATTCCCGTAATGGTTAAGAGATAGGGACCACGCTGGTCCCACCCTGCAAGTAAAGGGAAGAAATTTCTTGAACACCATAAAGCTGCGGGGGTTGCAACCAGGATAAATGGTGGTTTCTGAGCTTGGCCGCAAACTTGGCTATCTCAACTCAAAACTAATGTTAAAGGGACCCTCCCACCTTCAAAAAAGTTAATGAATTGGCACGAAAGTGATGTCGCTCGGTTCAGAAAGAGCGAAAACGAATATCTACCAAATTTCATCGAAAAATATTCACCGGTTTTCAAGATATTAGACTTTTACTTTTGTTTACTTTTTGGGATCTCCGCTGTTCCTAGCGACTTTATTTGAAAGTGCGGCATTTGTTGCGCGCAAAGCAGCATATACCACCGTGTGCTACCAAACGTTTTAGTAAAAGATTTAAAAATCGTTAGATCTCCGCTGACGTCACAAATTCTAAGGGGGCATACCAATGCACTAGCCCCTTAGAATCCGAAAACTGCAAGTTTGAAATTCCATATCTCCGAATTAAAGCATTTGTCGATGTTGTGAGTGCCCAAACCGGTATTTACAGGCCATGGCCACCAATTTGGCTATCTCAACTCAAAACTAATGTTAAGGTGGGAGTGTCCCTTTAAGGTGGGAGGGTCCCTTTAACAGTGACTGCCAAACAAGAGGCCATAGCAAGAAGCTGAAAGTCAAGAGATTGACAACTGTTTCAAGGGCAAAGTTCTTTTCAAATTGTATAGTCCATCACTGGAACAAATTACCAGAAGATGCTATAATGGCAACAGCACAAACACTTTCAAGAACCGGCTTGACCTATTCATGGCTCAAACGACTGTTACCTAGCTCAAAACCAATCCAGTACATATACCTTATACCTGATGTGGGCACCGAATAGACACACAGTCTACATCAGCCCATCATATTGAACCTAATCCTAAACAAGTTCAATTAGGAATTAGAATAGACATGAAGTTGATGCCTGTCAATTGCCGACAGCAGTCACATACCCATCCTAATATACGTCTATCCATTTCTGATCTTCTTTCATTGCCCATTTTAATGTAATAATAATGTAGGAGCAAAAATTTAATTAGGTAATAGCTGAAAACTGATTCTTGAGGCAAGAAGTCCAGACACACAATCTCCAAAATGCTTTGAGACATTCATGGTGTGATCAATGCCTGTCCACATAAAGCATAACACGTCAAAAATAGCAACGAAACCTGACGTTACTAGCTTCAAAATGACAGGGAAAATTATTGAAATATCAAAAAAGTGAAAAAGCAATATGTATAGACGACCAATACCCACCAGACAAAATTCAACACCACAATGCGCTTCGGATTTGTCTTGCGTTGTCAGCTGCTGCAGTCGTCCGCCATATTCACGAAGCCAAAAAGGTGATAGCACGTTCGCACAATCCCCGGTATTGGTCGATATTATTGCACTGTATGTATGTTTAAGATCACTATTCTCACACTGAAACTATCCGCACAATATGTCCAATCCACCAACACACTATATCGTGCTCTCTCAACCGCATAAAAATAGACGCCTGCGCAGAGCCCTGGTTTGGTTGCCAGATTTGTGAAATGAGATTTATAGGGAATTTCGACGATATTTTAAATATTTCTCTAGCTAGGATAACATCACTAAATACTTGGTTGCAGATATATGTGTTGAAAGAATCCGTTCCGAATCCGATACGATGTTTTATGCTCATTCGTGCAAACAGGACTTCAACGTAAAATGTGCGAAATATGTCGTTCAGATTAAGAAACCATTTGAACATGTATGAAGTAGGTTTGGTGCCTTCCTAACCCGCGCCCCACTGGAGTCTGTGTATAGCACGCCCTACTGGGGGGGGGGGGGGCTATTCTTAGCTCCCCCCCTCCTAGCTCCGAAACTACTGGGCCGATCGTCAAAATTCAAACGGCATCTGATAGTCCCGGAAAAACTGTCGAGCGAATCCTAATTTCATTGACCTCGAGGTCACCGATGACGTCACAGGTCAGGTCAAATAAAAGATTATCGTTGTTTGCCCCCAACACGTTAGAAGCTGGCAAACGCCGCACACGCGAGGGTTAACCTGCGCCCCGTTGGGTCATTGGGGGACCCTGCCATCCGTTCGGGGGAGGGAGGTGACGGCGTTCCCCCCCCCCCCCCCTTAGATCTCGGAAAGTTTCCTACCGACTTTCAATATTCAAGCGGTACTCGATGGCCCCACCGGGAGGCGGGAATTACTATTTGACCAACTTCCATTGAGCTAGGTGCCATCGATGCCGTCACAGATCAGGTCAAAGGTCGCATTTCTTACCGTTTGCAGGACTTCTAAGGAATGCGTTACAAAATCGAATTGAAGGCATGTTATCCCGGCCGGGCCCGGGGGGTAATCCCAACCACCGCAGCCCGGGGACATGGTGTGTCGTTTCGGGAACTAGCGACCCGCGGCCGGGCGCCGCGGAGAGGTGCCCGCCATAGGGTTTTGGGGCTATTTTTTCACGTTTCGGTCTGAATCGTGAAAAGTAGGGGAGAGCGGGGCCAGTTGAACCACTTTTTATATATTGACATGCACAGCGAGATCATAGTTGTGATATCGAAAAATGCACAATGCCATGAAAAAATATGCTCTTTTGGCTTTATTTTAAGATATGTAAAATTATGTTTCAAACATATTTTGCTGCCAAACGCATGCTTATAAAACAGCTCTACGCCCGTTTCAAATGACCCCGATGCGAGGGTCAATTGAACCAGCCCATGGGGTCAATTGCACCTATCCTTAACAATGAGATGTTTTCCTCTTTAAGGCCACTTTCTTAAGGACAGGGGCGGATCCAGGAAAACTCCAAGGGGACGGTCATGAATCGAGGTGGTGCCCCTACCTATACCCAAAATTAAAAACTCAACGGATTTCGTCCACTTCATTTTGGTGGTGCCCCCATTTTCAGTTTTTTTCTTTTTATTTTTATTTTTAGTCAGTATCTTAACCCGCGCGGGGCTGGGGGGGGGAAATTTTACCCCCCCTCGCGAATTTTTGCGATATCTCAAAAACGGCGGCTCGCAGCGCCGCCAAACTTTCAGTACCTTTTCTTACATCAATTTGACACGTTCCCTGAAAATTTGAGCGAAATCCGTCGGAAAATTTTTGAGAAATTGACGTTTTAGTGACGTCATGTTCGCCATTTTCGCCTCAAAAACGGCAAAAGTTCAAACGCCGCTAACATCTTCATTTTTAAAGGAATCAAGACGTAACAAAAAAGATTATACGTAATTTTACTTTGTCTATCAAATGGCGATCTCGGTTTTTTTGAAAATTTTGGATTTTGGCCTAAATTTTTTCAAAAAACTGAATTTTTTGGGAAAATCATTATAAAATCCAAAATTTTGAGTCTATCGAAAAAACCGGAATATATGTCAGAGAAGTGGTCTATGTGCACCTACATACCAAATTTTAGAAGAATCGGTTCAAAAATGTGGGAGTTATTCAAAATTCTATGACGTCACGACACACAATTTTTTTGAAAAAATACTTTTTTGGAAGTTCCAGACCTCGTACGGAAACAAAAATAGCACCATTCGATTCGCCGTGAAAAACTGCATCAGATAGACACCTTTTTAGGCCTTAACAACCAACTTCAAAATTTGACCTCACTTGACCTGACCTTGACCTGACCTCGACCTGAAATTCATCCAGAGGTGGTCCATATCACTTATTGAGTGTGCCTATTGAATTCTATGAGTAAAATGACCCATAAAACATGTGTCGCACATGCCCTTTTCTATATTTTGTTTTTTGGTAACCTGACCTGACCTGACCTGACCTTGACCTTGACCTCTGAATGATATTGTATGCAACGAATATTGTCTTGGTAGCCTAAGAACACGTTTTGGGCGATCAGTCTCAGTCCATGACTCCATTCTTCGGCAACTACGGTGCAAGGCCGATACTGTAGAAACTTGCAATTTGTACCCTTGACCTGACCTTGACCTTGACCTCAAACTTTAAATTAAGTACATGTTTTTAGTAGTTCGTGATGAGAGCTTTCGATTGGCGTTTGAATTTTCCAAATCGGACCATTAGTTCGGGAGATAACAGGGGGGGGGGGTGTAAAATTTACCCCCCCCCCCAGCCCCGCGCGTTCGGCTGGAGACCCCAGCCCCGCGCGGGTTAACTCTTAGCCACAACCACATTTACCAATTGTAAGCAAGTATATATGAATGTGCTATGTGCATAGATGCTATGTGTATGTGTATATATGTTGTGGACGCTGAGTAGTGAGTACTTACCAGGAACGTTATCAGGTAAGCAAATCGTTGTCAGTCCGACGAACTTGACCCTGGCGTCTAAAGGGTCTGTCCTTGACACTTCAGGCTTGTCAGGGGCACCAAAGTCCTTCCAGGGACACCACCCAGGGACACCACAAACCTTTCAGGGGCACCTACGGCCTTGTAGGGGCGCCACAGGCCCGCCAGGGGCACCACAGGCCTGCCAGGAAGTAGGGGCACCACAGGTCTAGCAAGTATACACGACAGGCCTGTCAGGGGCACAACGGACCTGTTGGGCCCATGAGCACCCCTAGGGGCAGGGGCACCACAGTCCTTCCAGGGGCACCGCAGGCCTGTGAGGGGCACCAGCGGCCTAGCAGGGGCACCAGTCAACACAGGCCTGCCAGGGGCACCACAGACCTGCAAGGGGCACCAGAGGTCTGCCAGGAGCACCACCGACCCCGCAGGGGTAACTTGGGCCTGTCAGGGGCCAGGGGCACCACGGGCCTGTCGAGAGGCACGAGAGGCACAGGCTTTTCAGGGGCACCATAGTCCTCTCCGGGCGCAGGGGTAGCAGGGGCACCAGAGGCCTGCCAGGGGCACTACAGGCCTAGCAAGGGCACCACTGGTCTATCAGGGGCACCACGAGCCTGTCATAGCCAGGCATCTCAGGCTTGTCAAGGCCCAGGGGCACCACAGGTCTGTGAGGGGCACCAGCGACCTAGCAGGGGCACCAGTCAACACAGGTCTGCCAGGGGCGCCACAGACCTGCCAGGGGCACCACAGACCTGCCAGGGGCACCACAGACCTGCCAGGGGCACCAGAGGTCTGCCAGGGGAACCACCGGCCTCGCAGGGGCACCTTGGGCCTGTCAGGGGCACCACGGGCCTGCCGAGGGGCACTTCAGACTTTTCAGGGGCACCAGTCCTCTCCGGGCGCAGGGGCACCAGCGGCCTAGCAAGGGCACCAGAGGCCTGCCAGGGGCACCACAGGCCTAACAAGGGCACCACGGGCCTGTCAGGGGCACCTCAGGCTTGTCAGGGCCCAGGGACACCACAGTCCTTCCAAGGGCACCGCAAGCCTGTCAGGGGCACCAGAGGCCTGCCAGGGGCACCACAGGCCTAGCAAGGGCACCACTGGCCTGTCAGGGGCACCTCAGGCTTGTCAGGGCCCAGGGGCACCACAGTCCTTCCAGGGGCATTACAAGCCTGTCAGGGGCACCAGAGGCCTAGCAAGGGCACCATAGGCCTGCCATGGACACCACAGGCCTGCCAGGGGCACCACCGCCCTTGCAGGGGCGCCTCAGGCCTGTCAGGGGCACCACGTGCCTACCGGGGACACTTCAGGCTTGTCAGGGGCGTTACAGTCCTGTCAGGGCCCAGGGGCACCAGGCCCGTGGTGTCCCTGCTAGGCCTGTGGTGCCCCTGGCGGTCCTGTGGTGCCCCTGTCAGGACTGTGATACCCCTGATAGGCCGGTGGTGCCCCTGGTAGGTCTTTGGGCCCCCGGGCCTCAAGGGGGGGGGGCATGACCCATGTGACCCCCCCCTTGGATCCGCCCCTGGTTAAGGAGATATTTTGTCCGGTTTACTTTTCCAAATGCTACATTCAATAGGTCGTTGGAAAGCTAAAAGTGCAAAATTCCTCATAATAGGTGACATAAAGTACATAGACTATGGTAAAATGGGCGGATGAGAAAAATGAGAAATATCTCAGGCTATAGTGTGCTTTCAAGCAAAAGGCTGGAGAAAAAGGGGTCAAAAATTGAGCTCTATTAAACTATTATTTCAGTTTAAAAGCTCATTTCAAAGGTGGACTATTTCCTTTAATGTTTACAGCCCCTGAACAATAACCATTGCAAAGGTCACCGGGGTCCATTGAAACGGCCTGTGGCCCTGTTTCAACTGACCCTCAGAGAAGCGTTTCAATTGACCCCATCCGCTCCCGCCATCTCGCACGCGCCGTAAAGCACATGTCAAACGAGCTGGAGGGACGGCATCATGCTGAATGAAGGGCCAAATAAGGTGTTATTCCGGAGCCAGGAGTTCTTCTTTCAGCAAACAAAGGTATATGAGATATCACAAAATATTCATAAGAACGATTTCTCCCAAACGCCCCTCAAAAACACAAAAACAAGTGTCAAATCAAAATTACCGTCCGTTTGCCGCCCAAACGCCGTTGACAAAGGAAGTGGTCGAGCGCGAATGCGCAGTGGTGTCGGCAACGCCATATGTTGCATACTGTTGAAAATAAAGTCATGTTTCATCTGACCCCGTGTTTCAACTGGCCCCGCT